AAAAAATTTCACAGAAATGCTTAGTAAAAAATAAATTTTAAACAGAAGTCCAGCAAATGGTGTCCACCAGCCATGATCTATGATTTCCACTGTGCAGAAAACCATAAAAATATTCTCTCTTTAAACTCTCTGATTATGCTAAGTACCCACGTGGTTATTAAAGTAATTATTGCCAGGAATTCAAAGTGACTTTAGAGAGCTGCTTTTTCCAACTCTACTTAATTTTATATTTATATTATATTATCTTTTTAATTCCAACAATTCTCAGTTCAGGAATACCGTGTTAACTTGTGTGCATGTGTATTTATTAGAATAGAAAACTAATTATGTACATACCTTGTGCTGGCTACGTTACATGGCAGCAAGACTTGTGGTTAGCTCCTCCCTAGCTTGAGATAGAGGAATGGTTTAATTAAACAATTAACAGGTCATATAACCTCCTATCTGAGCTCCCTAGTTTGTTAAAAAGCCGGAAGGGAGGTTTTAGAGTATTGTGTGCACAGCACATCATCCAAGTTGAAATTAACTAAGTTACTGCACAGTGGAAAGCAGGCATCTGCTCAGCAAGGTGAAGATTTTAATTGGCTGCTGAGATCACATGCTCTTGGCAACCTTGTGAAAATGATGGTGGATTTCCAAGATGGCCACCCCCTATGTTATTGTAACAATGTGCTACAGTCCATTATTACTAAGTATGCTATGAAAATAAGTTGAAGACCATGTTTCCTTTAAAAATCCATCTAACTGCTTGTGCAGTGTATCCTATTTAAATTGGCACTTTAAAATTCTTTTAGAGAAACTGTATAAGGCAGTAAGTAAATACATAACCTAGCAGTAATTAAATGATGTTGTGAACAACCTTAAAATAAACTAAAATAATAAAATACCAACGTAAATAGACAGCAACATGTGGAAAATGTATTAAAACTTACATGGCATACTCATAAAATCTCACTAAATAATTTATTTATTTTTAAGTTTGGTTTTTTTTTTTTTTTTAATTGATTATTCATTGCACCATACCTTCTGTATTTTGTGTTCAATGTGGTTAGAATGGACAACTTAGTCACTTATTTTAATATCCGTTTAAAACATATTTGTGTGCATTGCTTACTATTTTTAGAATGAGAGCCTAAATAATTGTTTTGTAAAGTAAAGTTGTTTGAGCCCTTCACAATGCCTGTAAGTGCCAAATTTGATTTCCATGAACTACTCATTAATAAAGGAACAGTCCAAGCACCATAACCACTACAACCCACTGCTAGGAGTGCCCTCTCTTTCTCTGTTAGATGTCAAGCCGTTTAATAACAATGTGACCCTTACCTGGGTCCGGGCAGGCGCTGGCCGCTGTCTTTTATGCAGCTGGATTTTGCTGTACTTGGCTAAGTTCTGAGATCCACGGCTGTGCTCAGTGGCCGAGAGCTCTCAGCTAACTCTCGCAGCCAGTGAGCCAGCCCTGCATGGATTAACTCATTGGAGTTAAAGGAAGCTCATCACCTGGCCCCATGGGAGCCAGGTATACTGTCAAACCGTTCTTGGAGTGTTCCTTTAACTGTGAGCCAGCAGAAGTACAACCATGTTTAAACAGGAATGTTAGCACTGACGATAGCACACACACAAATGTAATGTGAAAACTGTAACTGCCTGTACTTTACCAAAAAGGAGTTGGTGTTGGTGTCTTCTAGTGTTAAGGAAGAAACTTTACGCCCTAGCGTTATAACATAGTAAGATCATCAGAATAACACAATAAATTTTTTTATACTGATATTAAAATAAAGTGAATTTATATTATCCCTTATGAATGCATATCAAGGATGAAAGTAGTATTTCTGAGAGGTGACACCATGACAGAAATGTAGGTACATTAAAAAAAAAAAAAAAAAAAAGCTAAATTATTTGAAAACTTTAACTCAATTCTGAATAAGCGGAGAGCAAAAAATGAGGTGCAAGAGAATACTGAGAACGGGCAGCAGCTGAAATAGCCTGCCCTTCGGTGGTTTCCCGCTCAGATCTCAAGCTGGTTTTAGCTCATCTTGTGCCATTACAGAGAGAATATATCTGCTCTGCTTCTTAACAAGCAGACAAACAAAATACTTAGTCATATTCTGGGGTTGAAAACTTTGTTCATCATATCATGTCATATGTCACCAAAATTCTAGGTGTGTGCAAGCAAGGATATGTTGTATATGGTTTCCATAGTGATGTCATGAGCAACGGCAGAACATATAGATACAAGAGGAGATTACCTTTTAATGTATATTTTATGTAAACATATCAAGGCTGTTATTTTATTTTGGTTTTATTTTCCTATGAAAAATGTGATATGCTTTGTGTGGTCCTATAAGCAGCATGGTCCTTTTTATCACTTTTTTGTACACTGAGCCGACCACGTTGTGGACTTCTTGTAGCACCAACGGGCCTAGAGTTTAGTATTCATATTTAGTTGCTAATCTTATTAACTTTTTTTTTTTTATCTGCCAGTCCAGTGTATTGGTCACCACTGGAAGTCAAAAGATTAGTTTAGCTTTTATAGACAATGCCCAGTGGCTGTGTTTAAATTTCCTTTATGCATCAGTAATACTGAGACTGTTTTAAAAAAAACAATGTTTTATTTTATTTTAATTATTTTTACTGTGTAATTTTGGTTGATTGCAAGTCATGCACCTGAGAAATGCCAAACTGTGTTTTCTGCATAAAAAAGTGTTTTTTTCCATACATTTATGAAATTAAAATAATGTTCTTCATATGGATGTTTCAATAGTTTTCTTTTGCATTTAAATGTATCTAGATTGCAGTGCAAATGTTTAAGAGATTAACTTGGGAATTCTTGAGAAACGAATATGACTGTTCCATAAATTCAGGCAACATTGAAGTCGTACTTTTTCATTTATTTTTTAATAAAAGTCTGACCTTTCCCTGCCTGTACTAGTACCAGAGAGCTTAGCTCATTTGCCCATAATGATCAGCCTATGAGCTAGTCCTGCACTGCAGGGCTTAGCTTAGGACAGCAAATGGAAGTTTCCAAGTTGGAGCTTCTTACTTTCCGGCAGAATTAGTGTAGAGGGAAAAGTGGAGTCCGGTAAGAAGCCAAACTGTTCCAAAATGGTTTGACTACTCACAATGGAGGGTCACAAGGGACCTCTCTGGCACCATAACCACAACAATGCACTGGAGTGGTTATGTTCCTTAGAGTATTCCTTTATATCTATAAAAATGCCTTTTGGTTAAACACCATCCAGATTAAAAAAAATAAATAATCAGTATGTTTATCATGCTTGAATCATAGCATTTCATTGGATTGTATTGTATTAAACAACATTAATCTCTAGTGTAAGTTACATATAGGACAATAGGCGAGATGCACTGTATACTGTAGACCAGATGTGGTCCATCTGTGAACAGCTGCCATGATCACCAACTGCAAGTTGTAGTTCATCAACCTTTGTATGGCCACAAGAGGGCAAGACATTTTTTAAATAGACTGCTGGCTTGAATAGATTAGACATGGGACAGTTACATAATCTGTTGGTTTGTGCCTTAATCTCACTTGATTTTAGATTGATCTTCTACCAGCTAGGTTTCCTTGCACATGGATTGGCATCACTTGCAATCTATTTCAGGAATTCAGACATTAAGGAGCCAGTGAAGAATCACATTTAGTAGGTCCACAGAGTTCTAGGTAACCATTCAGAACACCTGGAAACTGCCATACCATTAATGGATTACAGCCCTTGGCGTTTGTCAGTGTCTTGCATGAAGGCATCTCTAATATTTAAATCTGTACTTGGATAATAGAAAAAGCACTAAATAACAAAAGCTTGAGTGGCAAATGTAAAAAGTTAATCATTGTACAGCATTTATGTTTTAAAGCATTGTTTTACTATTAGATATTACCATCTACATGAATTGTGTTTAAAACATAAAAAAAAAAAGAAAAAAAAAAAGGAAATGCTTCTTAAGCTAGTATGGACACTTTTTTTGGATGGTACACTGTTATTTATCAAAAGGGCAAGAACGAAAGGATGCCCTATTCATGGGATGTGAATCTGAGTCCTAACCTTGTTTTCATTTTGCCTGAAAAATACATCCTGTTACAGTACAGACAACACTGGGCTATAATCTCTTCAAAAAGGTCAGTACTAGTGAAACGTAAATAGAAATGTAAATAAAGTTTACTGCTGGGTGTTTATTAATGTGACTTAGGATGCATCGAAACTGAACTGTCAGGCATTGAAAGTGAATTTCAAATTTTAGATCAATAAGCCCAAACTGAAAAGACAGGTGAATCTTTCTACCATGGCTATATTAGTCTAAACTGTGAATATTTGATAATCCTCATCATGCTTTGAGTGGTTGTGTGCAGTGCTTTTTGCACTTTGACAATGCAGCTTAGTCTAATAATTTATAGACCAGTCCGTTTAAAGAAGGCATGTGTCATTAAAATGATCAATACACTGTATTAGCAGGATCACATACAAATCTGTGTACCATGAAAAATGGTTATAAATCTGTTGGCCTTAGCCCTTTATAGGAACAATTGCCATACAGGCTTGTGGGAAAATTAATGGCTGCTTCCAGAAAAGAGACATCTTGATCTGTGTAACTATGACACAAATGGGTCAATGCTAACATATTTAAGATTATATTGTCACTTGTCATGTCTGCTAGCTTGGTATATTTGCCTTTTAAACATGATTTAACAGCGTTTAACGCTTATCTAGAACAGATTCCTTAATGTTTAACTGTCCTGGTATTTATAGTAAATTAATACATTGTTCGAGCAGTATTCCTAGCAAATGTATATACCAGGAGAATATCTCATTTAAAAGATAGGTTCCTCTCTTACAAACAAGTGTCAAACAATTCTATGCTGAAAAAACGACTGACTGGGAGAGCCAGAGAACCATCCTAAAGGCTGTTCTCCTGCTCTCTGGCATAGCAACTGCATCATATATAAATAACAATATAAAAAGTATATTAAAAATGAAATACACAAAAAACACAGTTTGTTGTTTTTTTTTAATAAAAAATAAAGAAAACCATTTAAATAAGGAGATTAGTGATGAATTCAAAGTGAACAAATGCACAAGTAAAAGAAAAAAAAATTACCTGAAGAGAGGAAAATTGGCCCGATTTATATCCAGAGAGTGTAGCGAATAGTCAAGCATTCTACCATTTAGTCCACAGTTCACAATAGTTATGTGATTTATTTCTACTGTATAGGTTGGTTATAATTACTTACCAAACGTTATTGGGATGAATAAAAAAAAATAAAATAAAGAGCAGTTTCCAAAAGATAAAATCCAAATAGCCCCCTGGATGTTGCTTTCTGTTCCCTCATTTCAGAAAGACTTTGGCATTGTTTAACCATTGGAAAGATCCAAAGTCATATGTCAAGTTCCAAGCTTTCTAGATCAATGTAGTCTATAGGCAAGAGGTCAAAACTTTGCCGTTTTACTGTCCACTAGCTGGCTCAGTGCTGCAGGCCAGCTCTGGAGAAATGTTCAAGGTCCCTGTGGATGCAGGTTTTGGGAGATCACTGATCGACGACCTGGTAGAACATTCCCCTTCCACCGACTGACTTTCGTAGGCGCTGTCCACTTTCATTTCTAGGAGTAAGGGAACACATACAATTTCAAATTCAATTACAAATCTCAATTTAAAGACATGTTTAATGCATTAATTTTTCAAGCATTAAATATAAGTGGTACCTTCTACCATGGAATGCCTATTTGAAATTTAGCTCAAGAACCTTTTGCTGTTACTCATTGTTTCAATAATACAACACAGCATCACATACATGCGAATTAGGAAAATTCTTAAACAATAAAGTTGTCACTTTTTCGCATGAATACATCAGAAATTGTCAGGATGAGCATGCTTTAGTTAAACATACTACCAGTTATTGCATGCATAGGTGATGTTACAATATAAGCAGTCAAATGTAAAGAAACATGTTTTTTGTTGTTGGTCTGAAAACCTACATAGAATAAGAATACCTACAGATTTAACCATTAGTATTCTGCAAGCTTGCTTTTGTCAAGTCATTTGCACTGGCAGAATTGAATATTACTGATTTTCAAACAGAAACCTTTAATTATAAGCTACTTCGAGAATACAATGTGAAAATAACTGCATCGTGTATGTACAGTACAAGAGACTGCATTAAATAACCTACTGTACAAGTATGAAATGGATAGCATAACCATATTTAAGCAATTGTAGACATGGCCAATAAACAGAAGGTTGTTTCCGTATTTATTGCAATTTTATTTTTCAGATCACCATGACAGTTTGGACTACTGTAATGCTGCCATGGTTATTGCCAGGGAATATGATTATGTAGTTCTAACACACATACGCACATGCATAACAAAAGACAAAAATCAGATTTGCTGTGCAACTGTTGTGGTACAAACTGAAGCCCTACAGCATATATTTGCTAAGGTGTGTGTGTGTGTGTGTGTGTGTGTGTGTGTGTACATTACACAATTGTTTATTTTGGTAAATCAAGTGAATCTGTCATTCAATAATTGTGTATGGGGTTAAAATTAACCCAAATGCCATGTGCAATATAAAGAATGGCTGTTAGCACAGCATCTAAACCTTTAGCATTAAAACCCTAAAAATGCTTAGCAAAATAATTTTTCACCAAAACTGTCAGGTATTGTTTTTGTGACCCGACAGACTGTCTCTGTCACATGGTGTTAGGAGGACTGTAAAGTGCAGCACAAATGCATGGTTAGAGAAGGTCGAGCTGCACTGATAAGTTTCAGAGCATTTAATCTCACTGGCAAGTGGGTGAAAGACAATTTTGAGCCCCAATTTAAAGGTTGCAATGTCATGACTGTATACTTACAAAGAGAATTGTTTGCCTGGAACCTTGTGCTTTTGATTGACTGTAAATCTTGCTTTCTGGTACAAGATCACACAGATATTTACCAGCCAGGGCAGACGGCCAAGCACTATTTCTGCTCATTAGCCATAGGCCTCCATGTATCCTGATACATTGTTTAATACAATGATTGAGATCATCACTTAACTTTCAGAAGAGCAAACATGTCAGGTTAGGTATCATTTAATGTAGTGGGGAGTTTCAAGTGTCTGTACAGCAGTTCAGATAAAAGGGACATTATAGGCACGCAGACCACTTCAGCACATTGAAGTAGTATTTATGCAGTGTCCCTTGACCCTGCAGTGGTAATTATTGCAGTTTTTGATAAACTGCAATAATTACCTTACAGGGTTTTCGCCACGTCTAGAGACTGACTTTGGTCGCCTGACTCTGACCATCCTCACTCTATGCAGGAGGTCATTTACGATCACCTAAAACCCCGAATGAAAGCATTGTATAATGCTTTCCTATCGGGGAAGGCCTAAGGTGTTCGGCGTCAGCAGGTAGGAGCAGAGGCAGAGCCTGGAATCAGGTAAGAGACAGAAGGAGATGGGGGGGGGGCATTATAGTTTTCCTTAACCCCTTAAATCCGGAGGGCGTACTGTTAAGCCCTGCAGGAGCAGGCTCTAAACGCCGGCAAGCGTAATAGTACGCCCTCGCTATAATGGCTGCAAACGTGGCCGGCGCTAATCGATCACTGCAGATCGCGGTCAGGGGGATGCCTGGCCCCCAAGGCAACCTCCCCTGTGGCCGGTGACCGTGATCTGCAGTCTCTGATCACAGGGACAGGCTGTCAGTGCGATCGGTATTTACTGTGTGTCAGCCGATTTCAAATCTGCTGACACACGTGGCCGTCGGCTTTCCCCTGTGCAGATTGCAGGCGGGGGACATACCTGGCCCCCCAGGCAGTCCCCCTGGGGTCAGTGACTGCGATCTCAGAGCGCTCTGATCGCAGTGACAGCCTGTCACTGCGATCAGTGTTACATGTGTCAGCCTAATGGCTGATACATGTAACAGGCGCAATGATCCCCCTGCAGATGGGTAGAGGGAGTGCTTGTACCTTCCAGGCACTCCCCCTGTGGTCACCCAGTGATGTGAAATCACTGGCTGACACTGTCTCTGCCTCTCTCCTGTAGTAAAAATAAAATATTAGTTATAAAAAAAAAAAAAAGTTACAAATAAAATATACTTAGATCATATATAATCTAAATATATATATATATATATATATATTTATACACACACACATTTACACATACACTAAGTGTATTTTAATATATATATTCAAATTCAAATTAGTTTTTTGCATTTTTCACACACAAAACAAATATTAACGTTAACTTTGGCTAGTGTTTGTGACCTAGTGGCTACTAAACAAGACTGGACATACCCCATTTGCAATACCTTGGGTTGTCTACTATTGCAAATGGTATGCCATCATGGGGGTAATTCTTATTCCTGGGCTACCATACAGTCTCAAAGGCAACGTAACCAATCTACAGAATTTCAATGTGAAATAAGTGAAAAGTGTAACATAATATATTTGACCCTGTAACTTCCCAAAACACCATAAAACCTGTACATAGGGGGTACTGTTTTACACGTGAGACATCGCTTAATACAAATGTGTATTTTATTGCAGTATAAGCAAACCATATTATGACATTCACAGTTATGTCACGTAGAACTAAACATTTTTTAAAAATTCTTATTTTCTCCCTTTTTTTTATATTTTATTCATATTAAATTATGTTTTATACCTAAATATTTGATGTTAAATGAAAGCCCTGTTTCCCCTGAATAAAATGATATATAATAAGTGTGGGTGCACATAAAATGAAAGAGGCGAATTACGCCTGAACAGACATATGCCGCAAATTCAAGTTTTTGTTTACGTTTTGTTTTAATCACAACGTGTACATTTGGCTCAGTCCTTAAGGGGTTAAATGTATTCTAAGTCGGTCCATGCAGCAGAATAAAAAAAAATAAAAAAATTAAAAAAAAAAGCTTTCCTTCGATATAGATGCCAAACAGTAGTAGCAACATTAAATAAAGTAACATTACCCAGGGGAAATAATGCTTAACTAGGACTGCGATGGACACTTAGAACACACAGAGGTGGAACATAAGTATATTCTGCTAATTCCTGTATTAGCATTCTATGTGTGGAGCACACATGCTGACACTCACCACTAAGTAGAACATACTGTCATTTTTATGGTGGAAAGTATAATTGCATTCATTCTGAATTGGGAAGAAATTAGGTTTGTTGATACTTGATAGGAGTTTGGATTTGAGCCTCTCGAGCACTTTGCCTCCTTAATTAAGAGGAGCAAAAATAACTCCTCTTTGACAAATATACATTTCTCCCTGCAGCCACAATTAATTCTAGCTGAAGCGGATGAAACGAAAAACATCTGGATAAAAACTAAATTGTTGCTTGAGAAGCAGGCTCAATAGCACTGAATAAAATTAACGTGTCACTTCATTCCGGTGTAATGGAAACACAACATCTTTTTAAGTTCCTCTCGAAGGAACAATATGAGTATTGGGAAAGGCACTGTGTAAATGTACACTGTGGAGTTATATTCCACTTCTGCAATAGACAAAAAGTTGCTACACCAAATCACAGTAGTTAAGAAGCAAAATATATTTTATGCAGGGCCTTGTGATTGATTATTGTCCAAATCACTGTTGGTTAGTGATTTGCACCTTTTTGGATCCCCTCAGTCACACAGTACTGGCTATACAAAATATGCCAAACAGTTAAACACATTCATAGGTTAATCCTCAAATGTAGACCGAAATCCTTAGGGCAATAAGAAGCAGTGTTACACTTCTCAAATTTTATACTATGATGGTTCTTACTCATTTCGGATTTAAAATAAATTTGAAGAATATGTATGTTCTTAACTGCGTATTCTGTGCGACCCATTGTGTAATCATACATAGCCAACCAACAGGCCGCATGGGTACTTTATTAACTACTTCCTAGAATTTTCAAAAAGAAAGTTCTAATTACCTGAATTCTCCTGTTTTATAAAGGTTTCTGATGTACGTAGTAGTTGGACACCCTCATTCAATCCCATCGATTCTAGAGTTCTAATCAGGTCGCTAAGTTTTCCACCAGCAAGCTAAAAATATAAAGGCAAAAAATATTTTGTTTTACAAACTCTACATATATATATATATTTATATTATTTTATTATTTTTTTGCTACAACCAAGTTAATGCAATAAAAACGTACTTCGTAATTGCGCAGTAGACTCTCTGTGGGAGAAGTGGTGTTTCTATATGTGTCAACCAGGCTTTGGAGGTTCAGCCTCATGGCAAGTTCAGTCCAATCTGCACCAGTCTGACCTTCATTCAGTAGCTTCTCTAGACGCTGTACCGTGCTGGATTTCAGACAGAGGACACTTTCTAAAAAAAGGGAAAACCAACTATAATTATAAAAAGTCCAATGCACAGATTTCAGTCACATGTGAGATGCTGTAAGCAAAAGAAAACTGTTTGTTTCCACTTAGACAAAGCAGGTTACCCCAATGAAGAATCAATAATATAGATTTATGATTTTGTGTAAGAATACTATTTTGTGTATTCATAGCGAATATTTTTTTTAACAAAGACAAGTATAATATGCTTTACAGTTAACTAATGGGGATTGTGTTTACTTTTTCCTCTAATTCCTTAAAATAGGGAATGAAAAGCAGCCAGCAAAGTCCCTTTAATATTTGTAGTATACCAATGCATTCCACAACACTAAACAATGATACTACAAGATGTATGTAGATGCGAAGTGACAAGTTTCTTTTGAAATATGTAGGTTACCATGTTCTGTAACTGAACAGAAGCATGACAGAACAGATTGAGACACAGTTAACTCTACGGTATGCCAGATCTTACCTGGCTCGGGTCCCTTCGTTATGCAAGCCGATATGTGTTTGGATAAGATATCTCTAACCTGCAAATCAGAACAAAAACACAAAGTAATTAGGTTCCGTTCCATGCAAGAAGGAATAACAATTGTGAGGCAGCACGGTTTAGTCATTGTTCCTATCACACCTGCTCTTGATCAGTTGATTTTTTTTTTTTTTACTTATGTTTTTACTCCACACTAGTCTTTTGGTTAAAATAAAAGCAAATCTTGCACTTTAAATCTTGCACTTTAAAAGCAATAGCACTATAGACTGCAGGGGGTTAGGGCAGCATGACTAAAGATAGTGCAAAAATGTGTGGAACTTTTTCCACTGTGCATCAAGATATCTGTCAGCAGGACAACCTCACACTCTCCTACTAGCTCAAATGTAAATATTTAATAGATACATGATGTATCCCAGAAGGTTGGAAAATGTCAGCCAGTGGTAATTTAGCGGTTTCTATCAGTTACATAATGCTACAATTAACTATGAGTTTTCCATGGATGTGCTATTGGTAGGCAGATATAGGCAAGAAATACAAACAAGACAAAATAACGTTTTCTGAAATGTTGTCTATATTTAATGCAATACAACACAACCGTATAAGAAGAATAACTCTGAAAACAAATGGAAAAGTGTGTGTGTGTGTGTGTGTGTATGTATGTATGTATGTATGTATGTGTGTGTGTGTGTGTGTGTGTGTATAAAAGTTATGGAATTACCGGTATACATAAAGTGCAGCGTGGTGAAAAAGCTAAATATCATAGTTAGGAATATAGTTGTAAAAATGACCTAAACTCTGCAAAATAATTCTCGCTCATTTTATAATACATGATCCATTCAATGACCATAAAGGAATTTGACATTGCCCAATTTTAGTGGAGATGGTGGTGGTATCAGACGTCGCTATATGTAATACATATTGCCATGGTAACTTATTAAATATTTATAATAAAGACAGGACAATTACCTTGTCACTTCTGGTTAAGTCAAATGGTGTGTGGCCTGAACGCATTTTTTTCATTGGACACGGTGTGTTAATGTCCATCTCTTCTCCGTCGGATTCCATAGCTACACTGCTGTCTGAATCACTGTCCTCCTGATGGTCAGAATCTGTATCCATCTGCACATCGGAATCGCTGTCGTAGGATGCAGACACCGTCACAGGTTCATCATTTTCCAATAGAACATTTGCTCCTGTAATGAGCAAAAAAGAAAAAAGAAAAAGGCATGATCTACTAAAACCATAAAATGTTAAAGGTATGTCTGATTGAATCTGCACATATGGTGGCTTTACTCCCATCCTTGCCATTAAACATTCTTTTAGCTGTACCTTCTGCAAGGAAGACTCTCTAATTAGTCTGCATAAGTAAAAGGGAGTGAGTGAGTGTGAGTGTGTGTTTTCTCTCCTTTATTATATAGACCTTTATGCAAGTGCTGTATACCTGCCAGTCCCCCTATACTGGCACCAAATGACATGTAAGTACAGTTTTTACTTTACAACCAGATCTATACATTTGCTAGCTGTCTGGACAAACACAATGCATAGGTTGAATTAGATGTATAATAAAACAGAACTCGTACAAATGACAAGAGTCCCTTTACACAGCCATAGCTGGCTTGCCGGTCTAACCCTGTAAAAAAACCTTAGGTAGCGGTGGTTAGAACGGAGATACCCCGGGGATACAGAGCGATTAACTCCCAGGATACTTTACCAGTCAATAGACTGGCTACTGTGCCATAAGGCATTTCACCTATAGGAGATCATTATGATTTTTCAGTCTCTAATGTACAATTATTTATAAAGCACCAACATATTTCACAGAGCTGTACAATAGGTAAACAGGCCAAATTTTTTTTTTTTAACAAAACATGTTTGACATATGGGGTAAAAAGTATCAATTTGCATAGGTAGATAATCGCAATGGGTTATACTCTCTACTACACTACCTTGATGTGCAAACTGAGAGAAGGAGCTGGCACGGGATGGAACCAGAAACAATGTCATTATTTTTAAGGACTATCAAATACAGGGTGACCTTAAATATCCAAATTGCATAACTATGTTCAGTATATAAAAGGTTACAGTGAATCTAGGTGCATTACTTTCTAATGGTAGTTATTACTGCATAAGTATGAATAAACGGTATGATTTATTTTGTGATAACAGCCATTTTTACTCCACGGAGCAAAAAGCTGGTCTAGCTGACTCAAAGAAGTTGTTCTACCTGTACTGAGCAGCATCCTAGTGAGTACAGGAGACCCAAGACTGGCAGCCAGGTGCAGTGGGGTGTTTCCTCCGTATGTTCGAGCATTTACATCAGCATTTAACTGTTAAAGAAAATGGCTTATTAATTATCAGCAGTAACATTTAATATATGAATGCTTTAAGTAAGGACCATTTAATAAATATAGAGAGATAGAAGCAGAGAATATTGAGATTCTGCAAGTTTACTCTCTCAAAGATCAGATGTTAAAGTGGACCACTCCAGGGTACTAGAACAACATTTGGAGGTCCTCATCGCTGTCTTACCTTAAGGAGTAAAACTGTTTTCAAACCCCAAAGTGCCTCTCTGATAGGGCTTGTCCTGGTCCCTCCACCTCCTCTTCCAACCCCAATGTGGAAGTATTTTCATGGGTGCCAGTGTTAGCCCTTCCATTGAGAAATATGCTTTAGATACGTAACTTTATAAAGCATATTTCTCAATGGGAGGCCAGTAATGATCAGCCTATCACTGGTAGTCTTGGAGGTAGGAGGTGTATACAGAGGGGTTTGGGGTTCAACTGTCTGAAAATGGTTTCACCTGTTTAGGTAAGATGGTACCCAGAACGTCCAGACACCGTAGCAACTTTATAGAGATGAAGTCTTTACAGTGTCCAGAGTGTCCCAAAAAATTTAAAGATTATGGGTTTGAAAAAAGACCTCCAGAGAGGAATTTTGAAATTCTCATCTATCTACTGGATTCTAAAAATAACATTAATAGATGGAGTGAAGAATTATAACTACTAAATAAAAAAGGTATTCTAACAAAATAATAAACACAATTTAATGATAAATTGTTTTAAAAATAAAGAACAAAGTATTTGATCTATTTACTGCGTATTTGGTTAACATGATAGCAGCACTAAGGAACATTTTGGTAATCCATAAGTCATCAAAAAAAAGGCACAGATATTTGACAGTGTCTTGCTATGTGATAGATACAGTGTGTGTGCATTATTTAAAACAATGCCTCTGACAGTGCTTTGGTTTGTACCTTCTTCACCAGAAACGTGGCCATGTTTAAGTTGTCCATTTCCACAGCTATATGGAGAGGGGATCGGCCACTCTTCCTTTCCATGGAATTGACATTAGCTCCATGCTTTACCAGCAGCTCCAAGCACCTCTCATTGTCTACTTTCACTGCCCAGTGAACTGCGTATAAACCTGCACAAAAATATCCAACATTAAAATCAGCAGAGAACCTAAAACCTTTCCAGAATGCAGTATTTGTGTGATTATCTACTAAACTGGAAATGATGTAGAACAGAACAGCTCAGCTACATTTTCCTATAGTGTGCAATTTGCTTGTTATTTCTCCATCAATCCTGTTTAAGAGGTTGACCCGTTTTCTCCTTCCAGATACCTTCTCTGCTCCGAGATACATGTTCAAACACTATAGCAGATCTAAGCCAACTCTGCTGCAGAGCAACAAGTATTGGATATTCCTCCCTGTCCAAATCTGCTATTTTAATTTTTTTTATTCTAAAGGATTATTGATTAAAGATTGAAGTATTGAGAAATCCACAGAGCTAGCTGGAAGAGTTTTTTCCCATGCTTTGAGATTCCCCAAACTATATAAACCTGTTAAGTCTACTTTTTGTTTTATTACATTCCTGTCATTTGATTTTCTTTCTGTACCCAAATGTTTTTCCTATAAAACTTTGTACGTAAAAACTTTATGAAAGAAGAGAAATGACAAAGGTTGTGCCTTGCCTCTAGTTTTGTTCTAAGTCCTACTATCATCATCTTGCCAAAAAAAAATATTTAATTATGGTTTTGTAGAGGTGATGTTAGACCTTTTTCCTAGATATTTACAAAAACAAAATATTAAGCCTTATACAGTTGAGCACATGGCACATAATATCTCTAGAAACTCAAACAGGCTCTTGTTTCAGATCTCCAAATATCACAGAACATGGAAACGTTTCAGCTCTCGCTGACACCAGAGGCTATGGGATGAGAAAACTGTGTGTCATTGGCGTCCTATATAAATGACAAGTTTCATTTATAATTTTGCCAAGGTAGCCAAAGCAGTTATGACATTGCTGCTTAAGTGTCACTAAACTTTATGCCTTTTTCACCTATATAACTTTGTTTTGTTTTTAAAATATTTTATTTATGATAATCAGCATTTTTTTTTTAACCTCCCCAAAAATCTAGTTAAATTTGAACACAAACAAGTTATTAGGCAACTTTGACTTCATGTCGCTGCCATATAAGACATTGTGTTTCCCATAAAAGTAGACAGGAATTGTTCTCACAGAGACAAAATATAATCGTTTGCTGCAGGAACAATGAGAGACGTTTGAGTAAATAGTCGTGTCTTGGTTGACTGGACCAAGGAATGCACTTTTGCTCATGGTAAAGGATTTTGATACAGTTTCTATAGTGGCCAGGATCAGCAAAAATTGAGGACTATCTTCAGATATTTTATCACAATTGCCAGAGATTTGTATCCAAGTTAGGCTCACCGTGATAATCTGGCATTTCCAGAAGGTTTGTGCGGGCAACCGATGGGTGACTCAGCAAGACTTTGAGCATCATTTCGTCTCCAGCTTGAACAGCCAGGTGTATTATAGAGTTGCCATAGCGGTCCAATACGGTGGGATCAGCCCCGGCTCTCAGCAATGCATTCACGATCTTAGATTGATGGGTGATCACACAGAGATGCAAAGGGGTCTAAAGGAAAATGACCAACTATTAACATGGGAAAAAATGTGTAGCATAAAACCAAAACTGGCTGGTGGTGGGTCTTAAAGGAACATTCACTGAAAATGTTAAGTTTAGTAGATATGCCCCTAAAGAAAGCATGTGTGTATTTTGTTATGCATGTTTAATTTGGGGGCATATGAAAAAACAGCTTCCAAAAGTTGCAGACCAGCAGGCTCCAGCAAGCTCTCCCCTCTTTCCACAATAGACTTTCAGTGAATTCACCAATCAGAGGTTTCTCAGGCTCCATCTGCTAGAGCTGTGAGTGTCCACGCGATCGCAGCTTTCCTATTCATCTCAATGAGCTGTAATGCACTAGCTTAGTACACCTGCTGCTTCTGTGATGCTAAGAGAAGCAGAAGAAAACACCCATGGCTGGCTGAGTGGCGGTAATGGTCGTTTTTCCAAATCATAAAAAAAACTCAGATTGGTATTGAAATAGTCACTTTTAAAAACAGTCACAAATATGAAAGCTGAAGTGCTTTTTCTCTTTATCAGCGTAGTCCTCTGCACATGGCAGATCACATTAAATGTAAAATTTTACAGTAATACTATTCATTTTGCCTTCACTTTTTGGTCATGCTATATAATAGACATAAAAGCCCTTGCAAATCATGGCTCATTTAGCCCATTGATTGGCAGCAGACAACATTATCGCATACTGAGAAATTCTCATGTGGCACTGACATTTGGGCTTAGAGAAGGAACCAAGTACATCCTGAAAATATAAAACATGGGGGCCACTGTATGTGAACAAAGGCTAGGAGTGGAATTACAGTATTCGTCAAATCCATTAGCTAGTATCACCAGGAATTCAGTTGTGCAATGCAATCCAAAGAGAGGTTCAAACCAGTTATTGTGCTAGGATAAAGAACGATTGAAGGCACCTAGAACATGTAAAGCAGGGCTCAAGTACTGCAGGAACGCGTGGGAACAGTGTTCCTTCACTTTTTGGGTTCTTGGGTGAGTTCCCACACTTTATTCCCCCCGGACTTGACGCCTGATGTAAAGGGACACTCTAGACCCCCAAAAGTATTATAGCTTGCTGAAATGCTTTATGTGTTCCCCCTTTTTAACTTAGAAAAAGTGCAGATTTCCATAAACAAAACATACACTTTTATAAATTAACCTGGTTTTGCCCCCCTGGCTTTCAAGCAGACTGTCAGTCCTGTTTACTGCATAGTTTGTTAAGCTCAGTGGAGTAAAACTTAAGAGGAAGGCAATTGTCCAGAGCACCTGCCTTGCAAAGACTTCTCATTGAGCTGCAATTTGAAGTCTGTATTTGGACAGTCACAAAAGTCTGGGCAGGATTAGAAGGGAAGGGCTTAAAAAGGCTGCAGACAAGAGATCTGCAGCTTTAAGAAAACTAATGTAGCCTCAGACTGTAAATACTATTCACACTGAGGAATCATAGAAAGGACTGGAAATTGTGCTACCTGGTGCAGGTGGTTGGTGATGTTGAGAATCTGTTGATTGGGAATGCTTAAAATAACTTGTACTAACTCCTGGATGACGGACGTCTTCCCGTGTATGATCGCAAGGTGCAGAGGCCTGTAGAGGGAAGGCAGAGAAAAGTCACCAGAGGGACACTTATCACAAGCTATGATCTTATAAAAGGGCATGGTTCAATGTCAAAGAGAACAGCGCACACCTGGGAATACATCATTTGAAGAGTATTAAGCTTAGGGAAGTTGCAAGTTAATAAACATACATATACACGCATTTTACAATCCACAAACACTACCATGTATTTTGACCTGGAGATGGAAAATGTGTCTTTAGGCTGTCAATTGTTAAATGATAAGATATGTACAGAAATATACTAAGTGCAAGATAGCTCCAGGGATGATGGCCTGAAAAATATGCTTATATGTAAGAAGGAACACACAATGACATCATACAGGCTAACTATTTGGTGGAAGCATTGGTTTGATGAAGAGCATTGCTCAGTTCTCTGGCAGGGCACACTTCACACCTGATGTTCTAATGAACACATTTTAATAGAGATAATGTAGGCAATTCAAGTAAAGGCAAAACAAGCACTCAAGATGTCTGGGAACTACACTACTTTGACCTATAATGCTTAGCTAGCTGAGTATTATGGGAAACGGTTCATAAATAGCTATGGTGCAATGGCTTGGCAATATTGTATTCACAAGTCATTAACTAATAAAGCAGTTGATTAATGCTTTACCCTTGCGTTCCAGTGATCCAGCATAAAGTGCACTTAACAGGGCAGGTACAGAAATATGAGCAAGTTCAGAGAGGTTTACTAACCAGTGAAAAGTTGGAGAATTAAAAAGTTGACATTATAAAGTGGAACTTCTATAGTTCCAAAGTGACCTTTACATTCCAACTAGTGCTGTCAGCCCTCTGTAAATATCTCCCGGCAGACAGACATTTCTGCTGCTGCCATAGAGGGTGGAATAAGTAGAATGTGCTCATAAAATCTGGAAAAATTAAACTTACGTGTCTCCATTTTCATCCTGGTTAGCAATCAGATGCCTCTGCACAGCCAGCAGCATGCGGGGATCTGCGGTGACAGCATAGTCCATCAAGGCCTTTGACGTTCTCTCTGCAAATGTTATCATCTTCTTATGGCAAAATGTCACTACAAGAGAAGCACCAGAAGAGCTGTTTACATGGTTTCTAATTATCTGCCAGTACACACCGCATATTGCAAAACTCTTATATAATCTTCACATAAGTGCTGTATCCATACCTTGATGAACCATGTTGTTATAGCAAGCTTCTCTTTGTGAAGTTGCAGAGGATTCTGGAACTGATCCAGCGGAAGGCTCTCCATCTTCTTTCTTGATGTTTATTTTCTGTTCCGCATTCTCAGCACAGTGTGTTGCTGCTGTTGAATCTTTCATCATGTGTCCTCCCCCGTGGTGGGAGCCCCCATAGTTTGTAGTTGGATAGAAACCAGTGGTCATCCCAGGATACTGGTAATTCATATTGTTTCCTAATGCTTTAAAGAATATGAAAAATACATGTTTATGCTTGGATAGATGTGTTATTTTTTCAAAGGGACGTTTCAGGATGGACTTGAACCTTACATAAATACATTAAAAACAGATAAATAAAATATGCTCAAAAGTTCCTACTTTGAAGAAGAGAAGGGAGACTAGAATGTTTGTACCCTTTTTGTTTTAAAATATTGAATTGCAATACACACACACAGAAAAGTAAGCAAACTGCAAATAAACATAAAACGGACAGGAAATACTTTTCGTTCACAAGCGCTCTGTAGCAGCTATTTCCAAACTGTTCCTTGTTATACAGCAATGGTCCAGAATCTAGGGCTGAGATCTTAGTCTAATGTGGGGATACGGTTTAACCATGGGGTGTTAATGCTTTTAGAGAACTAACATACGAGTCACTCGGCTCTTAAAACACACCCATGTGCTTGACATAATGCAAAAGAAAACTGCGCATGGTGAATGTACATCGTCAGAAGCTTCCGAATCAAACTATCTGGGGGAACCAAGCAATACACAATAAATTTTCACTACTGATTGGACACTACAACAATAAAGTAAAGTGGAGAATGACTGAATACATGCCTTCTATTGACATAAATAAATTTATGGAAATACCAAATAAAACATTTTTAGTGTAACACTGATCTTAAACTAAAGAAGGTTTATTAAGACAACCTTTAGAACTTACTTCCACCAAAGCCACCAGATCCTCCTCCAGCACCTCCCAGAGGTGCACCACCACCAAAGTAATGGTTAAAGGTTGGAATTTCTTTCCTTCTCTTCCTCTCAACTTCTTCTTTGTCTGCAAAATGAGAGGTGTTACATCAACCCCCAACACAAGTATTTGAAAAGTGCATGCAAAATCCTAAATCTTCTTACCTTGCTCCAGTGGATAATAGGTGAACTGTTTGGAGTCACTGACATCTCCACCACGCTTGCGTTTTAGCTGCAAAAACACTGTGACCGGACGGTCAATCTTCTGCTGATGATATGGAGGTGTCCGGAAAACAATGGCATACTAAAAAAAAAAAGAGGAGGAAATATAGGAAATAATTAACTACAGAATATCACATATTAAAAGGTAACTACTATAAATTCATTATCCAATACACGGCTTACAGTACTGCAGCTGGAATACGCAGGTTTTAGTAATTTCAAGATGGTGTTTATTTGTACATTTTTGGCCATTTAAACTCAGGGGAAAATATAGTTGACATAGCTGCTACCATTTTCCCTTTGAAAACAAAGCACTAAATATTATTTAGTATATATTTTGCAAGGCAACATTTCTGACCAGGTCATGGTACAAGTTTTAATGGGTCAACCTCCAAAATATCTTTGGCCCAACACCAACATATTTTACAAATGTCACTGAAATCTACGCATTGTGTGCTCAGTGTCCAATCAGATCTTGAGATTCCTGTAGTCGGGCTACCAATGCTTAATATGGTCACCTCAATTATCTCACAGGGATTCTGGGTATTACATAGTTACATAGCTAAAAAGAGAGTTGCGTCCATCAAGTTCAGCCTTCCTCACATTTGTTTTTTGCTGTTGATCCAAAAGAAGGCAAAACAAAAACCAGTTTGATGCCCTTCCAATTTTGCAACAAAGCTATAAAAAAAAAAATTTTAAAAAAAATTCCTTCTTGACCCCAGAATGGCAGTCAGATTAATCCTTGGATTAAGAAGTTATTATCCTACATTGAAAAATTCTATCCTTGAATATTCTGTTTTTGCAAGTATGCATCTAGTTGCTGTTTGAACATCTGTATGGACTCTGATAAAACCACTTCTTCAGGCATAGAATTCCACATCCTTATTGTTCTTACAGTAAAAAAAAACAACTTTTCTTTGCCTTAGACGAAATCTTCTTTCTTCCAGTCTAAACGTATGACCTCATGTCCTATGTAAAGTCCGGTTTGTGAATAGATTTCCACACAATGGTTTCTATTGGCCCCGGATATATTTGTATAATTTTATCATATTCCCAATGAGGCAAGTTTTTTTCTAAACTAAAGGGGTTTAAATTTGTAAACCTTTCTTCATAGCTGATATGTTCCATTTCTTTTATTCATTTTGTAGCCCGCCTCCGCACTTTTTCTAGTACCATAATATCCCTCTTAAGAACAGGTGCCCAAAATTGCACACCATATTCAAGATGTGGTCTAACCAGTGATTTATAAAGAGGAAAAATTATATTCTCATCCTGGATTAATGCCCTTTTTCATGCATGACAATACCTTACTGGCCTTAAATACTGCTGATTGATATTGCACATTGTTGCATAGTTTGTTGTCTATAACAATTCCCAAGTCCTTTTCATGTGTTATCCCTAATTCGCTTCCATTAAGGGTATACGTTGCTTGTGTATTCTTTATGCCGAAGTGCATAACTTTGCATTTTTCAACATTAAATTTCATCTGCCATTTGAGTGCCTAGTCCCCCAGTCTATCTAAATCCCTCTGCAGCAAAGTAATATCTTGCTCACGTTGCAGATGACACAAAACTCTGTAAAGGAATAGAGGCACTAAAACATGACTTTCAATGCTTTTTTTCCAAGATCATTTATAGACATGTTAAATAGAAGGGATCCCAAAACACTTGCCACGTCTCTCCAGTTTGAAAATTTACCATTAGAGACACCTTTTGTGATTTGCAGTCACTGCCCAAATTAAGTTCTTAGATGTGGATTCCATAACTTCAAAAATTGTTAATTAGGAAAAAAAAATGTTTCTGCCAAGTATGCGCCAAAAAAATCCCGCAAAAAGCCGAGGTGGCCTTCAAATCCAGCACTTTACATCACTTGCAGTGCCATCTACCAAGAAGTATGCAGATATGGAGGGTTTTTACCTGTTTGTGGACGTCGGTTGGTGAGAAATCTCCATACGCCTGCCAACCATTCTCATCATCTTCATAAAATCTTACTTCTATGTCATCTACAAATAGAATAAAATCCACAATGAAATTGGATTCAAACACATTTACAGTGTTGGATACTTTTATCACTGCATATTAGTAAAGCACCAAAAACTAACTTTAGTACAATGGGAACTCTGTGGGTTTGTGAAAGGAATAAAGTGATGATGAGACTGCTCGCTAGTCCTAGCTAACGCTCTAAAGGGAAAGTCATAACCAATACAGAACAGATGGTGCTACCTAGAATCACTGGTATGGGTATTGAAAGGTGGTTTCTGCAACCCAATAAAATTATTTATCACTCCACATTTTATAACCTAGCTATAGAATTGATTTTCAAAAACATGAAAACATGGAATACTTTGTTCATGTATATAAAGGCTTTGTATCCATGTACACCTTTATCATTGCATGACAGTTGCTAATTAACCTATTTTGTGTCCCTCACACCTTTTTGACAGTTTGTAAATTATTTCACATAATGCTACACAAAACATGCACACACTGAAAAATGTATGCAATGTATTTCTAAGCTGGCCTATAAAGGGAATCTTTGGACGTAACATGTGCATGAAGGTTTCACATTATAATCTACATGTATGAGAGTGAAATGTTGATTAATGCCAGTCTATTCACCTTTTTGTACTTTATCACAGAGTAAGTAGACTTCATCTCCACCTTTCACAGAACCTGCAGTTTTATCCATCCTCGAAATTCGAAGGTTTGAAGCACCTGGAGATTCTGCAAAGAAAAGAAAGGGGGGAAGGTTGTTTCTATGTTCTGGAACAAAGGCAAAATAAATTAAGTAATGGTCTGCAATCCGACATAGAACAAACCGGTCATAGGAAACCAGTCCGTCCCATAGCTTATTCATCTCAGTTTTCTCAACAAATTAGGGATTTCCAGTTACACTACAGCGATCAGTGATCTTCATAACAGAAAATAGTTTTAAAAAATAAATAAATACACTCAGAATATGTTAAATAATGCAACATGTATAGGTAAACCACAAAGCAAAATGTTCCCATCTCTGAAACATCTATCAGCTTGTAAGCCACTATAAATGAGTCAGTTTGAGGAAGTGTGATCTGTTAAAATCACTTTCCTGGAAATTTCACCCACAAATAAAACATTAAACCTTTAATCTGTGTGAAGATCTTTCTAATCTTTTAGATTGTGCAGCTGTGTTTTCTTTAAAATATATATTAAAGCAAATGGCATCACATACCTGTAAAGCCCAGGCCAAAAAAAAGGAGGGCACACACACTGCATTGGAGGAGGGTGAACAGAAACATTTATACCTTCTTCGCTACTTCCAAATTCTAGGTTTAAAGGATTACTACAAATGCAAATATGTATAGCTAATGCTGGAGTGTTACCCCACCTATTTTGATTATTGATCCCCCTTTATGAAGAAAGAAGTATTACTCCTCTTTAGACCCTTGCCCCGCCAATCCCACCTCAGCTGCTATGCTTCCCCTGACGAGATCACCAAATCTGCATTGGGAAGCTAGTCCGCATAAGTGGAAAATTCCTTTGCTGTACCAGTAAGCAATTCCATGTAGCGATGCACTGAGTCAATGCATCCCTAAGAAGAGCATTCAGTAACTTCATGCTCTACAGCAGGGGTTCCCAACCCAGTCCTTAAGTTCCCCCTACTAGTTAAGGATTTAAGGATTACTAAGGTTATTTTTTGTTTTTTTTTAAGAAAGGGGAAAAAAAATAACACTTTATACACGACAGAGTAATCCCTAAATCCTGGACTGGTAGGGGCTACTTGAGGACTGGGTTGGGAACCACTGCTCTACAGGATAGAACCCAAGAAGCCCCTTCAGTGGCTATCGGAGTGACAACAACTAAAGGAAGCATTAGGCAGCAGTGTAAACATGGCGTTTGCTCAGAAAAGGAAGCATTTACATTATAGAGGCTGCTATATGCCCCAGAAGTGGTTCTGGTGCCTAAATGGAAATTGCATTGAGGAAGGAAAAGCACAGACCCTACAGCAATAATGCAGCCAAGACAGAGGTGCTCAGTTACCATATGGCTAAATACAGCAGTGGGGAGTTTTACTTTTTCCCTCTAATTTTACAAAGCACATGTTTGATTAATATACAGATTCTCACAAAGGTGAGTGCCCCCCTCACATTTTTTTAAAATATTCTATTATATCTTTTCATGTGACAACACTGAAGAAATTACACTCTGCTACAATGTATAGTAGTAAGTGTACATCCTGCATAAGTGTAAATTTGCAGTCCTCTCAAAATAACTCAACACACAGCCATTAATGTCTCAACCATTGGTAACAAATGTGAAATGTCGAAATTTGTCCCAAGTGTAAATATTTTGTCTGGCCACCATTATTTTCAAGCACTGTCTTAACCCTTGTGGGCAAGTTCACCAGAGCTTCACAGGTTGCCAACTGGAGTCCTCTTGCACTCCTCTATGATGACATCACTGAGCTGGTCGATGTTAGAGACATCACTCCCCCACCTTCCTTTTGAGGATACCCCACCGATGCTCAATAGGGTTTAGGTCTGGAGAAATGCTTGGCCAGTCCATCTCCTTTACAGTCTTTAGCAAGGCAGTGGTCATCATGGAGGTGTGTTTGGGGGTCATTATGTTGGATTACTGCACAACATGCGTCCCGGTCTCCAAAGGGAGGGGATCATGCTCTGCTTCAGTATTCACAGTACATGTTGGCATTCATGGATCCCTCAATGAGTTGTATATCCCCAGTGCCAGCAGCACTCATGCAGGCCCAGACCATGACACTCCCACCACCATGCTTGACTGTAGACAAGACACACTTGTCTTTGTACTCCTCACCTGGTTTCCGCCACACACGCTGGACACCATCTGAACCAAATAAATTTATCTTGGTCTCATCGGACAACAGGACATGGTTCCAGTAATCCATGTCCTTGTCTTCAGCAAACTGTTTGCAGGCTTTCTTGTGCATCATCTTTAGAAGAGGCTGCTTTCTTCTGGGACGACAGCCATGCAGACCAATTTGATGCAGTGTGCGGCGTATGGTCTGAGCACTGACAATCTAACCCCTACCCCTTCAACCTCTGCAGCAATGGTGGCAGTACTAATACGTCTTTCCCAAAGACAACCTCTGGATATGACGCTGAGCACGCGCACTCAACTTCTTTGGTCGACCATGGCGAGGCCTGTTCTGAGTGGAACCTGTCCTGTAATACCGCTGTATGGTCTTGCCCACCATGCTGCAGCTCAGTTTCAGGGTCTTGGTAATCTTCTTATAGCCTATGCCATCTTTATGTAGAGCAACAACTCTTTTTTTCAGATAATCAGAGCGTTATTTGCCATGAGGTGCCATGTTGAACTTCCAGATAACACCAAATTTAACACACTTGCTCTCCATTCACACCTGAGACCTTGTAACACTAACGAGTCACATGACACCGTGGAGGGAAAATGGCTAATTGGGCCCAATTTGGACATTTTCACTTAGGGGTGTACTCACTTTTTTTGCCAACGGTTTAGACATTAATGGCTGTGTGTTGAGTTATTTTGAGGGGACAGCAAATTTACACTGGTATACAGGCTGTACACTTACTACTTTACATTGTAGCAGAGTGTCATTTCTTCAGTGTTGTCCCATGAAAAGATATAATAAAATATTTACAAAAATGTGAGGGGTGTACTCACTTTTGTGAGATACTGTAGGTGATTATATGTAACCATGACATTAAAAATCCTAACCATTCAGTCTGAAACAGATTAAAATGAGAACAGTTGCATCATATGTATATACATGTTCCACCACCAGGTGGCAGTGAAGCACTAACTGGAGTGCTAGAAGAGGATGTATATTACTTTTATAAACTTAATACAAAGTCAACATTTTAATGAGCCTACAGCAAATGTAAAGAAAAGTGATTTACTCTAGGTGTCATATATGATTATAAACCCGCCCTTCCATAAAAGTATACAGTTTCCCTTCCAATCTTAGTAAATCAAGGTTTTTCATTTGGAAGCACTCAGCGTATGCTTTATGGGTAAATAAATAAAGCCATTAACTCAAAAAGCTATAAACCAGTAACGACAATTTGTCTTACTGCGTTATGTTAATTTGCACATGTAACAGCTGCAGCTATATGGAGTTCTCTTTATTATACACAGACCGCTGCCACTACAAAACATGCATACAATGAATCCTTTGGTTGGCAACCTGTGGTAACAGCTGCCATAGCAACTACAAGTAAACAACAGCCTGATAAAACCAAATATTGTCATTGTAAGCACCCCAAGTAACTCATTTTGGGGACTCTGGGTAAACAACAGCATAACATTAGATGACAGGGTTTGAAAAGAAAAATATAAAATTGAGAGTGGGTGTCAGGAAACACTTGAGAGAGAGACAGACAGACAAAGGGGTCGGTCCCGATAACTACAGTGACGCATCCCATTTAGGACATGTCTGACCTCTTCCTCTCCTTATTTAAATCCCACTTTGGCACAGAAATGTCACTCAGAGGTTCCTGTACTCTGTAAAGTGCCAGTCACTATAAAAGTGTGTTTAATTGTGGAATTCCAATATACCAAATCCAACTAGAGAGCCTTACTATGACCATGCTCTGCATGGACCAGCTACTTTTCCTGAAATTCTGACTATGTCTTTGCCTTATTCTATTCTAATAAAAAGATAAGACTCTTTGCCACTCAGCTATTCAACTTTCCTGTCTCCTATCAGGCCTCATGGTAAGTGTTGTCTTTGACTCACAAGGTGTGCTAGACTCCGCAAGTGCATTGCAGATTATATTAAATATGCACCTGTTGCAGTTGTACACCCAATGACTTAATGAAGGAGAAACAATAACGTGATAAACACAGCAAAAATATTTACTGGAACAATCCCAGGATCTAAAGGAGACATAAGATAGTGAGTGTGGGGCTAATCTTGGATACAGGAAAAACATTATGTCCCCTCGGAACCCAATATCAAGGTTGCAAACCAGAACATGTTACAAAAAGAGAAAAAATTCTTGATCCATCACATGTTTTGGGGCAAATTGGGAATATGAGCCATTGTAAATAGTAGTTAGTTGTTATGCCTTTAATAAAACATGTAATATTTTGTTCACTAAATGGTTTCTCAATCTTGTCATCCTGTAAAGCATAGTATATTAGGATCCTCCTATTCAACAATATATGATGAGGACTGTCTTTCCAAGATGGGAAATTTAAAAAGGGCTGGTGAGCATGCCGATCTAGAGCTTCAGAACCTGATCCTTTCCTGAATTTCTCACATTGGTACCACGATGATTGACAAGTTATGACTCTGTCTCAGAACCTACAAAGTGATATGGTATGAAAACAAATGCTTGTAGTAAAGTATGTTGGTCTGAGGCGCTCCTGAACATGACGTATATTAATTTATAAGAAAACTGCATTGTATAAAATAGTTGATCGAGATCTGTGATCATTACTTAAATTCCTGTATCTGTTCACCTAAAAAGAAAGCAGAAGGTGGTCTGAATGTACAATGTTACAGAGCCATATATGTACGTGCTATATACACAGACACTGTTGCTCCTAGGAAGGTAGGGTAGATGTGAACATAGGAATCCTTTTCAAATATATACAACTTAGAGGTTATAGTCATTACTTATGTGTAGGGCCTTGGCACAGGGGCAAACTTGGAGCTTCTGATTTGTAGCTTGAAATCCTTCTTCATGAAGATAAAAGTTATTGAAATTAAACGTCAGTTGTGGGCAGGTCGATGTCTTTAGGAGAGCAATCAATATAGTTAATGCAGAAACAGCACTAGAGACGGCATGACTTCCAATAGACCATGCAGCTTAATCAACAAGGATCTTGAGGACTTATGGATGCTGTACACTAGAGGGCAGCAGAGAAGAGCCGCAAAGAAATATTAATGTAAATCATGGTCAGTGAAGCTGTAGTCTTTTATTTATTTATTTTTTTAAAGAATGCTTTAGGGTCTCCATCTAATGGATGATAAGCTGAAGATATGCTTCATCTTAAAAAAAAAAAAAATACTAAAAGGTAATCCAGGATTAGATGCATTCACCTTCTGATACGGTCTGTAAGTTTCCTATGTGAGCTATTCAAATCAAAACTTGACTGGGAAACTGGGACACAACACAGAAATTATGTCAGCTTCAGGGCAGTAACACGGTAACAAGTAATTAAACTAAAACCAGAAAGAATAGCTGCATTTGTTTTACTAAAAATGTAAAGTTTAAAATCTCAACCATTCCATAAAATGGAAATGTTCTTCCATTCGATGTGATTCCAAGCCTGGTTACTTGCTCCAAACCCCTTTCTGTCATCGACTGTGAATGGATGTGTTTCAGAAATCTTATTGAACGTCCCATCCTTCCTTATGAACACCGCCATGATGATTTATTTTGAACAAGAATTCTGGGGGTTGTAGGTAATTAACATCTAAAGAGGCCAGATTTTGTGATCCCTACAGTAGTGGGGAAACTGCAACCACTGCTGGCATACTTTTGGACCGGAGTAATGTATATTACTTGACAGCCCTGACTCCATGTTGTTTCCAGGTTCCTGGCAATCCTATCCGATAGGAAATCATCTGCTCCTTTGAATAAAAGTGGGCACAAGTAGACTATTACCGCATTAAGAAAAAACAAGTTGAGTTTCCAAACAATACCAAGAAAGATTATAGTGTTCTTGGTAATAATGTGCTGTTTGATTATTAGTTTTACAAGATATTGCACTGGCTATTTTAACCTTATTATACCAATAAAAATATTCCATAATGTGTCACGTTCTCAAAAGTTGTTATTGCAACATAGTTGCTTGGAACTGTTCTTCCAGTCATATGGAAACCAAGAGACGAAGTGGGCAAATCCCAATAAAGTCTATGTTTTCTCTTTCATTCATCAATTCCACATATTACTGCACCCTGCTCAGCTAGTTATTCTGAGACTATTAATATTACTACAAGCACTCAGTGTGCAACTCATTACATGCCCCCTGCATTGAAGAGTTTGGGTAACAAAGGGAAAATCCTAAAGGACCATTAAAAGTCATGCAGACCACTTCATCTCAATAAAGTTGTCTGAGTGCAGTGGTCCTGTAGTTTGAACCCTTTAATGTAAAACATTGTAGTTTTATAGACTGCAATGTCTACATTGAAGGGTTAAGCACGCCTCTAGTGGCAGTCTTCTTACCTCCATAACAGAGTAAATCTTGGCATTTTGCCATGCATGCGTTCTCGTCCCCAATACCTCTCTACGAGAAACATTAGATTAGACAAGATCGTGGGTGACGTTAGCTTGCAGACATCACAAGAAGGAGAGCTGAAGGCTGCAGTAGTGGAAACCAGGTAAGTAAAATAAAATAATCATACATTTTACAGAGGAAAAAAAAAAAGTGTTCACATCGATATAAAGGCACCTATAGTCCCGAAATAACAATTGTTGTTTTTGAGACTACAGATTCCGTTTAAAGAGGAACTGTCAAAAAACACAGAGATTCACCTTTAACTTGTGTTAAGTATGCTATGTTTTCCTTACATGGAAGATTTCACAAAGTATGTCATGATCCTATTCAGACAAGGTAGAACCAGGACAAACATGCTAATGAACAGGATAAATAGAAGCATTATTTAAATTTCTCTTCTCTGTATGTCTTTGCTGTGCTGATTGCCAAGTGCAAAGGACAGAGCTCATAACAATGAATGACAAGGAGCCAAGAAGGAGGCACACATTTGCAGAATAAAGACTGGATTTCTACATCTAGTTCTATTTGTACACCTGGCAAATACAGATTTGTTTAATATCCGGAGAAGTAAACAGAATATTAAAAAAAAAACTTAAAGGCTATCTGTCACTTCCCAAGGATCTCTCTTTGCCCAAATGAAGGAAACAAATAAAAGCATATAAAATCCAATCCTCCTGAAACAGGATTTTCTAGATTAAAGTGCATATACATCTGCTGGAGTTTTAAAACCAAATTATGAAGAACGATGTTCTACTTGCATACCTTAAATGTAGACATATCATTCTTTGAGGTTTTGGTCAAATGTAAAAAAAAAAAATGCAATTCATGAAATTACTGACATTTGAGGAATGTTGAATTGCTTTGACAACTGCTGTCATTTGTGACACACTTAAAATAAGGTGAGAACCGCCAAAAAGATATTGCATTATATATGTAAGATTTCCAGTTATAACTGATATGTACAGTTTCTTTAGTATATCTAAAATTATTGATTTTTTTTTTTTTGCATGGGACACCATGTATCAGACATATAACGGAGGGCTGGGAAACAAAATGGACACAGATATGGGTATGCAACCGTTGGCACTCCAGATGTTGTGGACTATATCTCCCATAATGCTCTTACAGCTATAATGCTGGCAAAGCATCAGGGGAGATGCAGTTCACAACATCTGGAGTGCCAAAGGTTGCCTACCCCTGGTCTATAAAGTACAACCACTATGAAGTATAAAACAATCTTATGACTTAAAGTGCTTATAGATGTGCACAGCGCTAAAGTGCAACAACTATTTAAAGAACAATATTTCACATAAAGTGCTTGAAAACATGCAGATGATGCACCACCCACCCCAAAAAAGGAAATCACTCCAATAAAAATTTTTTTAAAAAAATCAACAGAATCTATAGTAGTGTATCAGAATAGATCACATCACCCTATGTGAAAAAAATAAGTAATTATTTAAATCAAGGTAGCTTCTCTCAGTATTTATGACCGGCAATTAACATTTAGTGTAAATACTATAAATTACTAAATGTTTAATTTTACCTGGATTAATCAGGGGAGTAATTCCATTTAAAAAAAAAAATCCTTTTGTCTAAGACAAGACAGCTATAAAAAAAATTGGATACAAACCTTGGAATTCTGATTTACATAGAGCATCGTGTGCGGACAGAATGGGAAAGTCCCTAAATCAAAACACAGCCTATCAAATGTGCCTTATCTTCCTCTTTCAATATTTTTGGAAACACCCAGGCAACATTTCTGACTTGCTTACTCATTTTCTGACGATGCGCGTACCTTTGATGTGCATTAAAACTCCGGCTGTGTTTTTTAAATGTAATATTATTTCCATTGTGAATTTTTGTTAAAATTTTCTTACAAATAGTTCAGACGGGGTTTAGATGGGGATTTTAGAATAAAAGATACAACAGTGCTTGAATGTCCCTTAAACTCTGCTTGGATGAAGCAGAATATAATGCAGAGCTGTAAACCGGAAACATTACAGCATGCTGAATGGCTTTTTACTTGACGGCTACATATGTTCATACTATAATAAATATCGGTAGTTGGCCATTTTAATCCGTCTCCCATTTTAGCCAACCCAACCTCTGAACTCATTTATAGACATTTACTGCAACAATGGTAAAAGAATTTAAAAAAAAAAAGAAAAAACAGGGTGCGGTGTTATAGGAATTTTGTCACACCTGGGGAAAGGTGTGTGAGGGGAAAAAAAATGAGGAGACATTTTTTACATGCCTTCGTAGAATTATCAGTCAACTTTTCTGTGACTATTGATTATAAGGAGGGTTTACACAACCATGTCTAAGCTACAGGGTAAACGGATTATAAATAAATTTGCCAAACATATATGTTAGGAAAGTAATTAAAAAGATTCTGATGGTTTGTTCAAGAAAAAAAAAAATGTAGAAATATCACCAGCACCTGGTGAAAAGGTCTTGAGAAAGGACCACGAGTGGGTGCGAAATGTTGACACCGCACAATTAAAAACTTTTTTACTTTTTCATAACAAAGTCCTGCGAGTGCCTACTCCTTGGCATTATTTAAAGAATGTATTATAGTTCCACTGTGAAGCACCAAGGCTATATTATCTAAAGACTTTGGTGGTTCTCCAAACTGAAAACAGTGAGTGCCTTCAAACTTCTATTTTTATATATATATATCACACACACATACATTAATAAATATATACATATGCATATACACACACGTAAGGTGCATAACTGATAACCAGCTAGCAAGTTTTTGAGCTTGACAAAGTCCTATCACCAAGTCGAAAAGTTATGCTGTTCATGAAGAGGACCTCAATAAATGTGGAGTGCATTTCACCTACTGCTGTGTGCTTGAACATTTACTTTGGATTGTTTGTTTAAAAAGGTTGCACATCTAGGATTCTTGTAAGTCCTGACCAGATTAACATTTTCAGCCTGTACAATCTTTAGGGGCAGAATTTTTCTGATATACACAAGATTATTTTCACTCTGTAGTAGCACTAGTGGGTAGATAAATGTATGAAATGTTATTGATTGGATTGTAGCTGTATTCTACTCAGTACGTCTCAAAGAGTCTGGATTACTTACTGCTGTCGTGGATTGGTTCTGAAATGACTGGTTTTAAAGGTCGTGTAAAAGAGCCATTGCTATCGGGGAGGTAGGCTGTGAATCGCAGTCGAACGATGCTCAGATCTGTAACTTTCTTTAGCTCTTTAACCTCCTGCTCAATCTTCCTCTCCTCCACCTCTGTGGAAGTAAAATTCACAGGTTACATATTACAAAGAAACAACCAGAGTACAATAAAATATATTTTGGAGTGACGACCAGCTCATGGGCACAGATTAACATTCAGCATGGTATATTCAAATATCTTGCAGGAATAAACGGTCCAGTTTCTGGATAGTTAACAACTTTTCAAATCTGGACAATTTCGTGAACTTTTTAAAGTATAGCAGACAAATCAAGAAAAATTATAATGTAAAAAATAAATGTACTATATACAATGCTGGGTGTCTGTAGAGATATGGAGTATGTGCATGTTCACCTGCTCATTTTATTGTTTGAGAAATGTGAATTGTTCCATCAATAGCACTGTTTGATCCCAGAGACACAGATTTATTGAAAACTACTTAAGGAGTTGTAGGCATACATCAAACAGCCGGCGTTCTGTTTAACCCATCATGGCAGAACTCCAAAACAGCTAGTGTAACAGGCAAAAATGAAAATCATTTCCTCAATAAATGCCATACCTAGTATTCAACAGTACAGTGTATTCACGGATAAAACATTCTTGGCATTACTGCAAAGAACTGTTTAAATTGTGTTTGCTCTACACATTGTAACTATTTAATGTCATCTAAGTTTCACAGAGAAGAAGCCCAGAGCTGTCCCCACCTACCTATTTAACTACCCACCTCGCGTAGCATCCTGTTCAGGCATCCAATTGCAACAGTAGTAATAAGTGTTACAACACCATTGGAGTGCTGTATTTGCTATTGAGAACCCCAGACCCCCTTTTCCCACAAAATAAAGTTGATATGTAACGTACCACTAATCCAGTGGTGAGATGTTCCCTCACTGCAGGTCCACTCTGCCCGACGTGAGTTCAACAGTATTGATGATCTCACAGCCAACAGAATGCTTCTCTAGGGAAGCACTGAGAGGCATGGTGCATGTGTGGCAATATATAGTGCTGTGTGCGCAATGTTTTTCACAGAGAAGCTTTGAAACCAATATTTTGTTGTGAGACGTCTTCCTTGCTCGTTTTGTATCCCAACATATAGAGAATGTAAAAACCCCTGGGATGGTGCAACCTATACACTATGAAAAAGTGTTAAATTTCTCTTGAAATATGCATTTGTCTAAAGTGACAAAGAAAGGACACTGTTAACCTCAAAAAAATAAATAAAAAAATATCACAGCAAGCTGAAGTTGACTGATTTGCCATTTAAAGACATAGTGACCCCAATGAGAGGATAGATGGTGGTTTAGCCAGCCTTACAATACAAAACCCTGAGATGCACAAAAAATAAAGACAGTTACAAAAGCACTGGGAAGGGAAATCTACAATCCTTCCAGAGACAACACACATACCAGAGAGAGCGCAGTTTCCAATTCGGTTTCTTAATATCTGCTGTCTCATCTTTTCTTTCAAAATCTCAATCTGGCTCTTCTTAGTGACGTGAACAATGCCCAAATTATTAAACCTGAAGAAGAGTATTTTAAAAACAATAAATAACATACAAGCATACAAATTCAACATAACTAAAAATATATATAAAAAATAAAAATAAAAAAAGGTTTAAAGTTCTTCCTTATACATTTACGATGGACTCCAATTCACAAAGACCCCACACAGTGACACCTGTCAGACTGTTCAGTAATATGCACTTTACACATGAACTAATACTGCAGTAGAATTGTGATTGCCAAGCACCCATTTAACACCCCTATAGCAAGCCATATGATAACTACAATATATGCTCCTGTAGAGGTCAAACAAAACCGTTGCCACTGGGTTATTCACACAAGTATGAATTGTCAGGAGGTCAAAGTGAACCGAAAGTTAATTTCAAATTTTAGCACTAAATAACCAAAATGAAACCACAGCGGACTTAGACAAAATTTAGGATTCAGCTATTTTGTACTACAATTTGAATAATCAATATTATCAAGGTTATTCACGAAACAATGGAATGGTCAGGAACTTAACCCAAAATAATTGAGTTGGAAAAACTCCCAAAATTAGTTTTAAAATTACTGACAAATCACAGCTAACTGAATAAAACTGCAGATACCAATCTGCTTGATTAAACATTTTTGAAACGTCCAGTTCCCTGTTTATTAACCATTAAAGGTTTTATGAATATTCTAGAACTGTAGTGGGTGATTCCAGAAGTAACCCTAATAAAAAATGAAGCCCGATTATATAAAATGTATAATCGGTTTGTAAACAAACCAGCTAGGTCCAAAGCCTCAAAAAATATATAAACAGATTTTTATCTTGCTCTCAGTAGTTTCACATTTAGCAAAGTGATTTAGGGGTTTGGAGTGCTCCTTTACTATTACACCTATTAACGTAGAAAAATATTCAAGCAAAATATTACTGTCATTTTAAAATTCATTCTGGCCTGTAATGTCAGAATCCAGAAAAGTGGTAACCTATCAGGGAGGAAATAACAGAGTACATACTGTGCAGTCATGTCCTTGGGTCCAACTGTGACCACACAATTTCCAGTTTCAGTAGCGTGCTTCCCCACCAGACTGTGAGCATGAACTCGTGGTGGATCTGTGTGTGTAACCAGGTCTACTTCAATCTTTGCCATACCAACATAATTAAAGATCTAGAGAAAAGAGGCATGGACACATGTTACAAAACGCTACATAATATATTATACCTATATAAACATTTAAACAGAAATAATAACAAAAATTCTGAAATTGTCTTATCTAACCCTTTTATTGCGTATATCTTGGGTAGATTTGCAAAATTCCCTATAATTTTTTTACATAAATTTCTCATGTCTATCATTGGTATGATATCTGATATATCCAGTAAAATATTCAGTGGGAATTTGAAAGACATATAATCAGTGGTATTCCTGGATATCAGCCATGTTTACATGTTTGAGACACAAGACACACTCACTTTCACTGTAGGATAGGTTTTCTTTCCTTTCTCGCTGGTTGCTCCGGGCAGCCCTCCGTGAGATGGTCCTTCACATACGTATCGAAACCGGAATCCTCGCTAGGGCAAACAAAGAGGACATCAACTTACTCAATATTCCATTAGATGAAAATGATGCTGACATCATGCAAACCAACGTCACTTTGTGGACAATGTATCTCAGTATAATTTTAGATATAGAGATAGAATTGCAAAGACAAATGTATAAGCCATTTATTACATACAATAAAGAATATAGATCCCACTCTGTAAATTATAGGAACGTCTTAACCTAGATACTAAATAATTGACATATTTTAGCAACTCAATTGCCTACCACCCCACCATCTTCAGCTAGCTAACATTCTTGAAGAGCAAGTTTAAATACAAGGCAGCTGGACTCATTAATGCTGCTTGTGGCTATACTATTATTAGATATAGTATCATCCGGGATGCCGAAGGAAACCTGCAGATATACAAAAGCTCAAAAAAGGAAACCCTGCTTGGGGTGTAATGGCATGGGGAAAGGAGCCCACGTTGCCGGCATCATCTGCCAAGTTCCATGTTTCACAGAAATCATCCATTAAAGGAACACTCTAGTGTCAGTAATACAAACATGTTATACGGCCTATGTGGCTGTTTAGGCACCCCTTCGTTCGCTGATTTTACAAACCTTTTCTCCGATGCCATGCCAATCTCACTTTTGTTGATCTCAGCCAATCCAATGCTTTCCTATAGTAAAGCATTAGGAGGCTATTGCGCATGCACAACAAAACAGATGCATTGAATCTAAGTGACTGCCACTAGAGGTGTTACTACGCAGCAATGCCTGAAAAGGCAGGTTTTACACTGAAAAAAATGACAATTGGAGTAACTAAATAACCTCCATTTGTTTGAAAATACATAGGGATTTCGGAGAGAGCGCCGTTAACGTTTTGCCTTTGGTTTTTACTGTATGTATTGGGGCTAATGTTTACTATGGTCGTTGCTGCCGCCCAACAGTAGTGGGAGTTTGAGTGAAGGACTTGTTTGTTTGTTTTTGCATCAGGATTTACACTGAAAAGCCTGCAGGGAGAGTATATAGACACCAGAACCACTACATTAAGCTACAATTGTTCTGGCGACTATAGTGTGCCTTCAAGTTTTCATAGTAGTGAAAAGAATTAAACGCATTATGGACCCTCTATAACTTAGTGATTCACACAGTCTACATACCTGTTTGGGCTGCTCAATAATTGCAATATATGGGCCATTTGCTGCAAAAAAGACAAAGAAAAGAAAAAGGCCATTATTATAAAGGACTTCATGCATTGCCATCCTTAACTATCCATTGCACAGCAAGGATATAAAATCAATAAAGTAAATTATACTTTTAAAACAATATGCATGAGTCAATGGTCGGCAAATAAGCAGCTAAAGTACTATATAGCAATAACATATATTGTAACATTTTTAATAGCTGAGAGGATACCATACAATATTCTTCTGTCTCTAAGCAATCCGATACTGACAGTACATTCAGAATCATCAATATGGAGAAGCTGGACAGTTCACATCACTCTAGACATTGCGGTTTTAGAGTTTTGGTTTGTGGTTTTCTTTTAGCATACTTTATAATGTTTACTTACGAATATCCATATCTATGCCATCCATGTCTATCATTCCGGTTTGATATGAGAGACCATTCTTCTCTTCATCTAGCTTTCCAAACATGTACTAATAACAGAAATAGATGAAATCAGTGATAGACAAAAATAAATCAAAATCTTTTCAGCCATTCTCACATGCTCTTACAGTGGCCCTCACGTAACGTATGTGACAGCAAATAAAACTCGCTTTTAGATATTTAAAGCAACCATGACACCATCCCTGATCTTTGCATACTATACTAAGACCCCCAATGGTGACTGCTCCGATGGGTGTCTGGTGGCGCAGAGGAAGGGGCCGCTGTCATGGACTTCACGCCAGTCCTCTTCAAGTCCTGGTGGTACAACTGCCAGGAGACCACATCCATTTTGTACTCTGGCACATGTGTGAGAGTCCAGCTAGAGGTCAATGGAGTATCTTGCAAGACCACAGTATCCTCCATAGACAGAGCCTTTTTTCCTACAGCCATCAATGGAGACAGCTGGTGAAATGGCAAAACTTGCCATAGGTAGCTCTTCCTTTTCTCAAGTTTTGTAAAGTGTAGGAAAAATACCAAGACAAAGTAGTATCTAGTCTTAGCAGTAGTAGCCTTAGTACATCTTTTGACTGGGTTGGAATTTCAGTTAATATGAGTATTTCATAACGATTTTATATTTACGAAATACTCATGGGGGAGAAGGGGGGAAATTACAGCTGCTTAACTATATTGAAAGCTTTTTTTTTTTTTGTTAAGCTAGAATGCCTAAATCAATTCTTATACTGATCAGCAAGTAAAAAGTACCCAAAATATTACACATAGTTGGGGTGTAGTATGTGGTCCAAAAAAATAGATGAGTTAATTTTTCCCCCCAATTATTTTCTATAAAACAAAAAGAAAAAAAAAAAAGAAGACGACTACAATGAGGGGATTACCAAATATATCTAGGTATATAAAAATAAAACACAAATTTTTTTTAGGTTAGAAAAGGTGTTTTCAGAATGGCAAAGCCAGAATGCCTTACATGTTCAATGTTGTGAATCTCAGTACATTATCTCACATTACACCGCTAATGTGCAACCTCCCCAGAAACTTCATGTTCGATAGATAGAATGTGACCCCTACCATCATTTCACCTAAAGAATTACAACCATGCAAGCAATGGTACCATTACTTGTGAAGGTAGATATTGTGATCATGAATACAGTTGTTAAAAGGGACACTCCAGTCACCATAAGAACGTAGTCTAAATTAAGTTGTTATGGTAGCAGGAGGCACACTCTTACCTTAAGCATTTAAACTGTTCTCAATGGTCTAACCCCCAAAGGTTGCCTCCAGCACCAATCTCAAGGTCCCTCAGGTGGCATCCGGCTTCTGAATTTGAGTTACAGGAAGCTTGGAGTGAGTGCCGCTGGGCAGTGGCGCTGCATACTGGCTAGAGCTGTAAACTGACAATCTAAGCCAATCAGTAGCCCCCCCATTCTTAATAAAGGTACGAGGCAGTGAAGGATTAAAAGAGAGTTACAGAGAAACTGTCACTTGCTCACTTTTAACACAATCGCTTTGTGGTACAAGTCTTTAAAATTCTCTTTTGTACTTTTTATTTTCAGTTACATGCCTGGTGCATGCATGTGTCCAGGATACCTCGGTTAGAATGCACGCCCGAGTCATAATAGTATGGTGATCTCATCGCAATATGAAAGTGCGGTGGATGCAAGCTTTTTACTTACCTCCGCTGCTCTGTTCACCCTAGTAAATGCTATAACAGTGTTTATGAATAAGTAACTCTCATTCATGTAGAACGGACAATTCCTTTTTAAAGTACTTTATTTCCCTCTCTGTACCTAAAATATTAACATTTTTGTATTTCTAATGTTAAAGTTTCACTATAATAATATCCAAATGGACAATAAAGGAACCACTGTCAGTAAGCATTTTATTAATCTGCTTCAGATTCCAGAAGGTAGGTGATCTCTCCCACATTATGTCCTTAAATGAGATGTAGAGACGTACTTAATTTTCACTTTTTACAGCATTTGCTGAATGTGGAGTTATTAACTAAAACTGACTGGCCACCGTTATGATTGGATTGCAACAATATTGCATGCTTTTATTTTGCCTTGAATTAGAAACAACTGGGTACGAAATGCTTGATGCTATTGGTTACTTTCAAAATGACTATTAAGTTGTTGATGTATTTGCATGCATACACTATATATAGCAGGGAGCAAGGTTTCAGGAGTATTTTTGTTTTAAAACCTTGTGTGCTTTGAAACCAACGTGCCACCACCTGAAGGGGGATAAAGGGGAACAAATGTTGTTTGGTCATTGATAGATCCCTAATCAGTGCTGAGAGGGATAAACGTTTACTTCCCCTTGGCTTACCTAGAGCAAATTCATCCTATTACACAGCTACTTGTAAGGTAAGGATTCAGTATTGACAAAGTATGTAACACTCCCAAACACTTAGACTGGTGCTGAAGTGTCAATAGGTATAAGAGGGCCATCAACACTGAACAAGTTTGTATGAAATGTTTTACAGTCCTTTAGGTGGTATAATACGGAAGTCTACATTTAAAAAAGTTTCCTTTAGTGTGAACGTTACAGGGACAATATAGTCACAAAAACAATGCAAGTTTAATGAAGCAGTTCTGGTGTATAGAACATGTCCCTGCAGTCTAATTGCTTAACTCTAGTTTATGCACCCTAGTCACAACTCTATACATGTGACTGCACAGCTTTTCTAAACACTTCCTGTAAAGAGTCTTGTAATGTTTATACTTCCTTCATTGCAAATTCTGTTTAATTGAAAATGTCGTATCCTCTGCACTGTTAATAGCTTGTTAGACTCTGCAGGAGCCTTCTGTGTGTGATTTAAGTTCAATTCACAGAGCAGGAGATAAAAACTTTTAAAGTAAGTTACATCTGATTGATAGGGAAACCAATTTTTTTTTTCTGTGTGAGTCACAGCCAGGAGAGGTGTGGCTAGAGCTGCATAAACAGAAACAAAAAGTTATTTAACTCCTAAATGGCAGAGAATTTAGCAGTGAAATTTCAGAGGCATGATCTATACACCAAAGCTGCATCTTTAAGCTAAAGTTGTTTTGGATACTATAGTGTCCCTTTAATCTGGGATTTAGTGATCAATATGATCGAAAATTAGGGGATCTGGAGCAATTCGATCCACAGCCACCATGGTTTCAGTAAATGATGAAGAAGAGCCTAAGAACAAGCCAACAGGCCTTACCAAGCTACAAAACAGACTTGGACAGGTGGGCATGCTTTTTGCCGTCTCTGCCAACATGTGTTCCTCCCTGGCATCGAATAAATAAGCTATCAATATTCACACTAAACCCAGCACTATGCAAGTGTAAATGAGAACAAGCAACGGACTGAAAGTCATGTAAACCAATTAAACAAACGGTTTTCAGATCTTGGTGTTTGGTACACTTGCATTCCGAATGCACTTCCCCCACCACAACAACCACCAGGTGTCCCGACGGTGGAGAAAATAAAAAAGTAGCCAAAAAAAGAGGAGAACTTAAATTGTCTTGTGATTGCATGTTTAGTGCCAGCTTCCACCGTATCAAATTAAGGAGAGATAGTCTTGTGTTTATACAGTGTTTATAGGTAGGTCACAATCTGCCTGGCTAATCCATCTCATACTAACTGTGCGCTGTCAAAAACACTGCCAGGATTTCTATATAATCCACAATCACAGGAAACTACACTAATAGTTCACAAGAAAGATCTACAACAGACCACACAGGTCCGAGTTCACCAATAATCCCAACAGATAATGCCAAAATGTGACACTTGTATGAAAAACTCCCATAATGCTGTTAGCCTAAACGTAGAGGAGTTGTAGCTGTTCAAGAGACAGGGGTCTACATTTTTAGATTCACTGAATTTTCACAGTGTGTTTTTATTTATTTAAAGTTTAGGCCAGAAATTGCCATCACCCAATGAGGGCAATGGGAATTGTAGTCCAACCACAAATTAAGGGCTGCATGCACCCAAACTAAAATTACGCAATATTTTTTTTTTTTTTAAATCTTGTCCTGCGCGAAGTCAATGAGTAAACAGAAAATAAGGATCATATAGAAATATAAACAGGATGTAAATTAAAGGGGCTTTTGTGGTATTTATGAACCAACTCTGCATCACAGTTGACTGAACAGATTGCTTAAGATCACAATAAATAGAAATATGGGAATTCCCAGAGATTTAAGACTCATAGCTTGACAGAGATTGCAAACTAACAACGAGAGGGAAACAGAAAAAAGCAAATCAACCCAGAACAGAAAATGAAGGTAAAAAAATGTACGTGGAAATGCAGGTTATACAGTGTAAGTTACTGCATTTCCAAAAAGCTCACATCGAAAACAAGAAGAAAAACTCAAAGTACATTTTGGGACATTGGTTGCTCTGATACTAAATAACAAAGCAATGGACATCCGGGGAGTGGGGGGTTCACACACCTTGATAGAACACATTGCAATCCTTCAAAATGAATACTATTTCATGGTCATACTTGATACACCAGCATTTCTAAACACAAATTAAATCTGTTAAATTTAAAGAACTAAGACATGTTACCCCAAAGGACATACAGGATTAAAGAAGTGTATTATGTTCTATAAGAACTGACTATAGACAAGCCTACCCAAACATGTGTATTTAGCTCAGGGGCACTTGGGGGATTGACATGAAAATGTTTTTACTAGTGTGACAGGTTCTCAGGGCAAATCGGTAAATACTCAATATTCACACATCTTGTGGCCCTTTCCAGTGTTCTGTCAGGTTTATTCACCAATGTGTACATCATTAGGCACAAAAAATAAAATAAAATAAATAAATAGAAATTAAGGACAAAAAAAATTCATCCAATTCAGCTTTTTTTGGGCCTGAAATATACAATTCACTTTGGATTCCAGCTAGTTCCCACTTTAGTGTATAATCCTGTGGGCATTATCTTCTTCTTAGTGTACCACAAAGAAAATATCTGCTGCTCGAGCACAGGTACAGGCTTGTCCCCCTCTTTAAGAGCCATTTGGTTGATGCAATGTGTGAGTTAGTCCATATTATTTTTGTAATGCAATGAATGAACCCCTTATAAGAAGTTTTTAAAGAAAGTTCTCAAGAAAAAGTAAATCCCACACGTCTTCGTTCCCATATACAGAGGGAAACCATTGCTGGCTGGTGAACTTTCAAGATGGTTAAGGGCTAGATACTACCCACAGGATTTAACTTTGTACATCCCATGGTGAGATGTGATGCCCTGTTCAACCCAATAATCTTACAGATATATTATTTTTTGAAACGACCAATTAAAGAATTCAAACTCAACCCCCTGATTTTTTAGGGCATACCAGAACGGATGTCCCACTGCGTAGCCAATGGGTGATGTAATAAATCCGGTTAGAGCATATATAGCATGTCTAAGGTCTATATGCAGAAAATATGGCGCTTTCAGCAGTCAATTATGAAAATCATTGTAATTATATCTTAATTTACACTTATAAGTCCTTACCTCGTCAATGCATTAATGATTTATTAATAAAAAAAAAAAACAGGTGGTGAGGGGAGTTGGGGTAGCCCCACCAGCCTTTATGGATCAGCCTCCTCTACCGCTAACTATTCCTTAGTAAGGCTTGATGCAGAACATAAATCTACATGTGCAAGGATCCGCTATATTCTAGCTCTCTGTATTTAGTGTTAAACATGTATGACGAAATTTGTCAGGATGTGCTTGCTGGTCATATCAGCTATATATACAAAGCGGAAATGGCTAAACAAGAAATATGCAGCTGCAAACACTTTACTTGTATTAACCCCACCAGAAAAGTTTGAAATTGTTCTCATTCACATCTGAATAAAGCAGCTTTAATATAAAAATTGTTAGAGAGTACAGCCTTCTACAAAATGTGGCAACAGAATACCACGGTGTACATTAAACAGTCCAGATTTACACACAAAACACACACACACAATGTAATAACACTGTAAAGCAAACAGCCCTTTGTATACTTTTTATTTTATTTTTTTATACTGCAGATCAGAAGTTGGATTTCGCAATACCTAAACTGCATTTTCAAATTACATGAAAATGAAATACATCCATAACCGCATAGCAGATGAAAGAAAATGGATTCAAATAATGACAACAGAAAACACATCACAAATAGTATAAAATGTAATCTCTGGTGTCCCCACATCATATTGTTGATCATATGAGGAGCTAATGTGTAGAGCAGATGGATTATTTAGGCATTTCATAAATGAGCAGGCGTAAACCAAAAGGTAGAACCCACTAAGCTGTTACAGTACAATCACAGCTCAGATCTTCCTTTATGTGTGTCCCATATTTATTATTAGAGGATTATACACTGTGAGCACAGCACAGATACATTGTATACACAGACATATTATATACACTGACACTCACAGATACATTGTATACATTGACACTCACAGATACATTGTACACACACACACAGATACATTGCATACACACACACAGATACATTGCATACACACACACAGATAAATTGTATACACTGACACTCACAGATACATTGTACACACACACACACACACACACACTCACAGATAAATTGTATACACTGACACTCACAGATACATTGTACACACAGACACAGATACATTGTATACACACAGATACATTGTATACATTGACACTCACAGATACATTGTACACACACACACAGATACATTGCATACACACACACACAGATAAATTGTATACACTGACACTCACAGATACACACAGATACATTGTATACACTGACACTCACAGATACATTGTATTAACAGTAGGAAACCAATGTCAAGATACTTACAGAATCATATCTTTCCACTTTAAAGCTCATCACGTCTCTTCCTGATCCCCTCTTCTCTCTGGGGTTAGGTAGCCAGGGGGGTAGATCCAGTTAAAAAGAGTCCTGGGTACAGAGAAGACAAATCACACAGAGGAAGCCAGCTCAGAATGTTCAGCAGCTCATAGTAACCAGCCCTTGCCCATACAGGCTCTAAAAAGAGTGACAAACAGGGAAATAGAGAGTATTTTGTTTTCTCAGTCTTTCTGAAGAATAAGGGGAATACAGCACGTAGAGTACACCAGGGCTGGCAGGGCAGTCAGGGGGAGGGGAAGGGCCCCAGGAAAGTTGGAGCTGTATAGGAAAGTCCCTAAATTACCAGCACACTGAGAAGTGACGTCAGAGTCACATGACCAGCAAACACACCCACTACCCATGCAGGAAGCAAAACATGCAGAGACAGTGAGACTGTGCTAGGGGTGACAGACACACAGGGGGAGAGTGTGGCTGGGTCTATATTGTGGTTTAACTTACACATTTTGTATCAGCCCATCAGAATAAAAACCACACTGACTGGATATCCTTGGACAGCATGGCCCATATATAAACACACCATATATTATTATTTTAAGATTAATTTGTTTTGGTATTTTGCATTAACAACCCACATAATGGTTTCTTGAACACTTACCATGTATTATTTTTTTTTTTAATAATAGTGATTGAGAGAAATCATCACTATTATCAAGGCAGTTACTTTGGGAGCCCAGCATTATTAAAGGATTATTTTGCACCATGAAGCATGCAGCACATGAATGCTAGATACCACATGGCAGTACATTTCGTGTTCTGCCCAACAGCGTGAAGGATTGGTATGTGGGCAGAGCATAGTGACAACTTGTGAGTGTGAATATTTTTTGGGAGCAGAACAAAGCGAGTCACTGGTATAGGTTATAAAAGGGTTAAGGGGTTAGGAGATGAAACAGGAAGGGGTAGCATCAAAACAAATGTAAATAAGTGTAGACATGACCTATAATAAAATGCTTTATTCATAAGAGTCTGCAAACACACATTCCATTAGCAATGCTGCCCAGCATAGTAAACCCCCTTCACCAACAAATAATTTGAATTAAAATAGAAAGTGCAGCATTCAAAACACAGAGATATAGCCAGCAAATACATATCTACATAACACAGCAAGTTCATAAATGAAATGTTATTAATTAGTTATTGAAAAAAATATTCTTATTTACTTATTGATCCTCACAGCAATATTGGCAAATACATGTTTTAGAGATTCTATTAGTCCACTAGAGGAAGTGTCTGAAATGTTGGCATTTTTGTCACATACAATTAGTAGCTGAGATATTTACATATAATGGTTAAATGCTCTGCTGTTGGGATTTCTAAGGCACCTGAATTCATTTCTGTGAAGCACGCTTCCTTAAAGATACCCTGCAAGCACTATAACCACTACCGCTGGCTCTAGCAGTTATGGCGCCAGATGTTTACTGATCCCCCACACCCACCACAATGTAAGATGTCAAACCATTTTTTCTTTGTTTGACTTCTTACCTACTGTCTGATGGATGCTGCTCCCATTCTCCACTATTAACACCTGCTCATAACGTCAGTTTCTCCAGCAATGGTAGTGGACAGGGCCGGACTGGGAAAGAAATCTGGCCCAGGCATTTTTTTTATCACAGCGGCCCACTAAGAAGGGGGCTGGGCAGAGAGGGTGTGTTTTGTCATCACTCATGACAAATATGCCCCCTTTCAAAGTGAGCATGTTGGTTCAATGCTCTTCCAGGGCAGACCATGCGCAGAGTTCTACTGAAGAGCCCTGTATTTGTTCTGCACAGTGCAAGCAAATTTAATAACATGCTTGCACTGTGTTTCCTTGCAACTTGTCTCTGGTGTCTCTATAAATGGATACCAGGAGACAAAAGGGCCAGGAAAGAGTATTGTGCATGTGTTTGGAGCCTGCTTGTGGTATTGCGTGTGTGCAGAGTGAGCTGGTCGTGGTGTGGTATTGTGTAATAAGGTCGGTTTTAGTCGTGTTGTGTTTATGGTGTAATGTAATGCATATGTGGCTAGGGGCTGTAGAGAATGTGTGTATAGGGGATGTAGCAAGTGTGTGCATACAGGCTATAGTGTGTGTGTGTGTGTGTATAGGTGATGTAGTGTTTGTAGAGAGTGTGTGTTCAGGAAATGTAGTATGTGTTTGCTTACAAGGAATCTAGTGTGCGTATAGGGGATCCAGAGTGTCTGTGTGTGTGTATTATTATATATATGTCTTGTGTGTGTTTGAAGGACCCAGAATATGTATAGGAGATCTAGTGAGCGTGCGTATATAACGGATTCAGAGTGTATATAGGGATCTAGTGTATGTGTGTAGATCATCCAGAGTTGGCTAAAGGATCTAGTGTGTGTCTGGAATTTTAATGTGTTTAGGGGTGCAGTGTGTGTGTGAGGGGTGCTGTGTGTATGTATGTATATATATATATATATATATGTATATATATATATATATTTCTTTTTTTATATAAATATGTTTGGAAGTATTGTGTGTGTGTGATGCAGTGTATCGGGGGGTTGTGTGTGTATGTGAGGGGTGCAGTATGTGTGTGTGATGGATGCTGTGTGTGTATGTGAGGGGTGCAGTATGTGTGTGTGATGGATGCTGTGTGTGAGGTGTGCTGTATGTGAGGGTGCTGTGTATGATGTGTGTGAGTGCTGAGTGTGATAGTGCTGTGTATGATGTGATGTGTGCGAGAGTGCTGTGATGTGTGCGAGAGTGCCGAGTGTGATGTGTGCGAGAGTGCCGAGTGTGATGTGTGCGAGAGTGCCGAGTGTGATGTGTGCGAGAGTGCCGAGTGTGCGAGAGTGCCGAGTGTGATGTGTGATGTGTGTGAGTGCTGACTGTGGTGAGAGTGAGTGCTGTATGTGAGTGCTGTGTATGATGTGTGTGAGGGTGCTGTGTATAAATGTTGTGTGTTGGGGGGTAAATAAATAAAAAACTAAGTGGGGGTAAATATACAAATAAAAAAAAAAAACTAAGCAGGCATTAAATCCCCCCTCCCTTCTTACCTTTAGCCTGGGAGGGGGGGACAGGCACGTGGTGTCTGGGAGGGGAGGGACCAGCACTCGCGCACCATCCCTGGTAGTCGAGTGGTGAGTGAACTCTAGCCTGAGGGCTAGCTCCCGAACTCGCGAGAGGAACCCGGCGGAGCTGCAAGATAGAGCTCCGCCGGGTCCTCTCTTTCCCCAGCCGCAGGTCTATTTAAATGGGCCGGTGAGGGAGACCTTTGATCTCCCCACCGACCCTCCATGGAAGACAGCGGGGCCGGCGCTCGGATAGTGCCCGGTGTGCCCGATGGCCAGTCCGGGCCTGGTAGTGGAGGTAGAGAGCAGCGCCCAGCGGACCCAAGGTAAGAAGTCAAACTGTCCTTACAATGGGAGTGCCAGGGAAGCTCTGACACCATAACCACCACAGCAAGCTGTAATGATTACAATGCTTGGCATGTTCCTTTAATATGACACCAGAATATCATGCCTATGTGTGAACTTTAAATGCAAATAAAAGAACACTTCAAGCACCATAACCACTACTGCACACTGTAGAGTTATGGTGCCTTGTGCTCCCTTAGCGTGATCAGTCAAACCACTTTAGAATGGTTGCACGTCTTACTCCCACCTCCACTACTTCTAAACACGATACACTAAAGAGCCAAAAGAAGGAAAGAGGCAGAAATAGACATGGTTGGTGGTACACAAGAAGTTATTAGCACTAATCTGCATGGTTTTATGTAAAATAGGTCATGTCAAACTAACCGAATTGCATTCTACGAAGAAATAAGTTGAAGTATAGATCAGAGTGTTCCAGTGGATGTAATCTACTTGGATTTTGCCAAGGCATTTCCTTACAATAGGTTAGTTAGTCTTCAAACTAAAAGAAATTGGTCTAGATGAATATTCTTGTTCTTGGGTAGAACATTGGCTTAAGGATAGAGTACAACGAGTTGTCATTAATGGTACATTTTCAGGCTGGACAAGTGTGGTAATTGGTGTTCCTCAGGGTTCTGTTCTAGGAATGCTTCGATTTAACATATTTATAAATGATCTTGCAATAGCATTGAAAGCCTTGTTTTAGTGTTTACAGATGACAAACTCTGTAAAGGAATACAATGTGAGCAAGATTTTGCTTTGCTGCAGATGGATTTGGATAGATTGGGGGACTGGGCACTAAAATGGCAGGTGAAATTTAATGTAGAGAAATGCAAAGTTATGCACTTCGGGGGGTAAAGAATGCACAAGCAACTCACACCCTAAATGGTAGTGAATTAAGGATAACAACACACGCGAAGGATTTGGGAATTGTTATAGACAACAAATTAGGCAGCAATATGCAATGTCAATCTGCAGTTGCTAGGGCCAGTAAGGTTTTGTCATGTATAAATAGGGGCATAAATTCTCAGGATGAAAATATAATTTTGCCTCTTTATAAATCGCTGGTAAGACCACACCTTAAATTTTGGGCACCTGTTCTAAAAAAGGATATCATGGCACTAGAAAAAGTGCAGAGACGAGCTACAAAATTGAAAAAAAGGAATGGAGTATTTTGAATTATGACGAAAGGTTAAAAAAATGTAAATCTGTTCAGTTTGGAAAAAATGGCACTTCAGAGGGGATATGATAACATTCTACAAATATATTCAGGGCCAGTACAAACCATTATCTGTAAATCTATTCATAAACAGGGCTATACATAGGACACAAGGTTACGTATTTAGGCTGGAAGAAAGGAGATTTCATCTAAGGCAAAGAAAAGGTTTTTTTAACAGTAAGAACTATAAGGATGTGGAATTCTCTGCCGAAGAGGTGGTTTTATCAGAGTCCATACAGATGTTTAAACTGAAATTGGATAAATACTTCCAAAAACATAATATACAGGGATATAATTTTTAATTAGTGGGGTCATAGCTGATTGATCCAAGGAGATATCGGACTGCCATTCTGGGGTCAAGAAGGAATTTTTTTCCTAGTTTGTTGCAAAATTGGAAGCGCTTCAGACTGGGTTTTTGCCTTCTTTTGGATCAACAGCCAAAACATATGTGAGGAAGGCTGAGCTTGATGGACGCAAGTCTCTACTCAGCTATGTAACTATGTAACTATGTTAAAGATAAAATAGACGAATTATGTTACTATGATGTAGTACTTTTTTATTTTTTATTATTGTTCCTTTTGTTTCTTTTCGCTGCACTAGGAGACTGATATTTTAAGAATGTATTTAATACCATTGTTTGCGATAGTGTTTTCTTTTGCAATAAATCCACTCATATTTCTGTATTTGCCATTTTATTCAACAAATATTTTCTTTTTGAATACTTGGTATTTTATTATGTACTGACATTTGACCAGTTAGGAAGTTGGTGTCTCCATAGTTTGCACACTTAGGGTATTCTAATTTATCAAAGGGTCTGGTTAATTTGTTTCTTTGCTCCTATGTACTAATTTGTATGTCTTGACGATCGTTTTTCCAATTTTGAGACCTTTCGTCAATGAACCCTGATAAATCCAGAACTTACAACAATTCCCACTACCAGCGCATGTAGGGAGTTTCCCAAATATTTACCTACTGGCAAAGCAGCATATGGTACTCTCCCACATGCTGTAATCACAGCACTAAATGAAGGAAGTAAAGATATGGGAAAATGTACACCTATGAATCTGCACAATCGTCCAAAGACTAATTCAGGCTCAAACTATCTAGGTGTGGCCATCTGCTCATTTAACCTGCAGATGGGTTAATTGTGCTTCATCTCATAACATGAAGCAAGTGAGAATGATCAAGAATATGATATATAAAGAGTATTTTGGAATACAAAAATAAAATAAAAATCATGGAATGTTTCTTGGTTTCATTCGTAACGCTCACCTTTTACAACATTGCTACAGAATGAGATTATATATATAATTTTACACACACACTCTCTCTCATCCCTCCGGGTGGTACTTTTTTGTATATTCCTCATTCTCAGGCCTTCTACCAGAGGCCTGGGAATCTGATGGTTCTCCACAATGTCTTAGGGAAATCGACGGAGGAGGAGCAGTAAGGTTCTGTAAGGAGCAGGAAGGGGCAGCAAGGATCTGGAAGGGGCACCAAGAAGCAGGAAGGGACAGAAGGAGTACAAAGGTAAAGGAACAGAAAGAATCAGCAGGACCACAAAGGTAAAGATGGAGCAGAAAGGGCCAGCAAGGAGCTGGAATGGTGCAGCAACAAGCTGGAAGGGGGAGAAGGTGCAGGAAGAGTCTGCAAGGAGCAGGAAGGGTCTGCAAGGAGCACAAAGGTAGAGTAGGAGAAGGAGCAAAAATGGCCAGCAAGGAGCTGAAAAGGTGCAGCAAGGAGCACAAAGTTAAAGGAGGAGAAGGTGCAGAACGGGGCAGCAAGGAGCACAAAGGTAAAGGAACAGAAAGAATCAGAAGGAGCATAAAGGTAAAGTAGGAGAAGGAGCAGAAAGGAGCAGAAAGGAGCAGCAAGGAGCAGGAAGGGACAGAAGGAGCACAAAGGTAAAGGAGATAGAATCAGAAGGAGCAGAAAGGAACCGCAAGAAGCAGGGACATCCAGCAAACATGTATTCCTGACACCATAGTTGTGAAAACGCTTTTCACCCTGACTTTATGGGGCTATGACTATGCCCCTCCCCTTCATGATACGGTCAAAAAGGGGCCAAGCATGGATGTCATTACAATTATGCCCCCTGTCCAACCCCCCTGGAAAAATTCCTGTGGACACCCATGCTTGACAGAGTCTTTCAATGCCCATTTACAAAGTTTTTCAATGCCCCTCACAGTCTTTTAATGTCCCTTACAGAGCATTTCAATGTCCCTACCTAACAGAGCTTTCTATGACAATAACAGAGCTTTTACTATCAGCTCCACTCTCTATTACTCCTGGCTGATGGCAGGGCAGGTGCTAAGGCGGGCTCTGACGGCAAGTCGTGCTGCTGGCAAGGCGGGCTTAAGTTCGTGCTCCCGCGATCTCTGCTGTTTCCGGCCTTCCGGGAACAGCAGGTAACTGCGGCCAGCTTGGATGTGGCAAAATGCAGCGGAACCCAAATTTTGTTCTCGTGGAACCTTCGGGAACACCAATTGGGAAACACTGGTCTACGTCAATCTTGATCTAGATAAATTTCATCAGTATGTTGCTAATCCTGTTATACCATTAAAAAAAATAATTTGTGCACGTTAATCTCAATGCCTCATTGCATGTAAGCTATGTATCGTGACTCTTGCTATCAGGGCATGACAAGTCTGTATGTACTTATCTGCACTACAAAAATAAAGAATTTAAAAAAAAAATATATATATATATATATATATATATATATATATATACATATATATACATATATATACACACACATACACACATATACATACATACATACATACACACACACATATATTGGGTAAAAACCCATAAGCCAATGACCGACACCAAAAACTTAAATAGTGTGGTCTATGTATTTCTTAAAAACTGGTGGTACATTAAGCAATATCAAACTGTGCATATTGGATTGGTAGTGCATGTGTGACACATGCCAGTTTACTGAGTAACAAAATCCAGAAGAATGTTTTCTTAAAGAGTAATATTCATGATGTCTAAGGTGATGCACACAAAATGTTACTCCAGCCAAAATTGGAATTTAAACGCTGTGTAGCCCTGGGCTGCACATCCTACCTTCTACTGAATGTGTACTTAAAGATAGTTCCATCAGCTGAATCCAAGCAGAATCAAGATATAAAGCAATTGCAGCAAGTTTCGATTCCAAGAGAACTCAACATGCTTTTAACTTGGTACAGGTGGTTCTTTAGAACAAAAACGACATATGCTGGAAATTGTTTTGATCACAGGACAGCGGTCAATTTGGCAGAACAGCTGTTTAGAGAGGTTAGCCATGGGACTTATTGGCATCAACGTGCTTTACTGCCCCAGCGGTAATTAATTGTTCAGACCTGAAAGGCGGCATATACAGACAAGGAAGCATAAAAGCTTTAAACTGTGCTACTTGAAATCCTCCTTCCATTAAAGCAAATTAGTACAAATTTTAAACATATTTCCAGAAAAACTAACTGGTTCTTATAAATGTTTCTAACTTTTTGTCTTACTGCAGCTGCTGGGCAACATTCCCATCAAATACGGCTGACCATGTTACAGGACCAATAATCAATTTTGGATATGAGGTTAGCCATCACAGACTGCATGAACAATCAGGATCTCCTCAGATCAGGGTAATTCAGGGTACCAAGTATCTCCAACATTCACTTTGCATGTAGATACCTTAAACTCGTGTTGACATGGAATATTTACTCTAGACCCCTAAAGCACTTTGGCTTACTGAAATGCTTTATGTATGAAGGGTGTGTCTATGTGACAGCAGTCACCATCACTGGGAACAGAAGGACACTTTACATAGGTTCCTGAATTGTTCTTGTGTTTTAGTCACCCTGTGCCCATTATAGGTGCAGTGTGTATAATATAATTGCTTGTGGTTAAATAGATTGTGTGCTCTGCTCTCCTGCTGATGCTTGCTGGCAACAAGGTGGAGTTGGCTGTGGGGCCTTTTCGCAGCCTTTATGCCTATACATTATATGCACTACCTGAATAGCAAGGCTTGATAATTTGCAAATTCAGGTAGATTCCATAATGCCAGTTCAGCAGGCGGAGAGATTTTGTGTTAATTATTGTTTTACACACCCCTTTATGAATATGTCATTATAAGTCCCTGCATGTTGTCCAGTATGATTTAAATATTTGTATTTTATTGATGTTGTCACAGTAATCTAAACGTAACAAGCATATGAGTTAGTCGCAAGCAAAAATAAATCTGAGTATGGTAGTCGCTTATGGAACGGTGTGTCCTGTGTGGATTTTAAGGGAGCTATAAGACAGGAGTTATCACATGGCAAGCAGAGGTGCATAACTGCCTGGAAGGAAAGATGCAGAGGAAAGTTACATGCCTGGAATGAAAGAACTCCAGAAAGACCCCAGTCAAGCTTCGGCGACTGGGGCTGAAGCGTTCAAGCGTCCAAGCAATAAGCTAGTAAGCAGACTGGGTGGAGGTACTTGGTTGGAGTACAGGTGTTCCTTCACAGTCTTTTTTCCCCCTATTATACAAAAAGTGCAGACACACACACACGCGCATCTTATTACCTTGCAGGGGGAGAGGGGGCATGCTGGCCCCTGTTCTGGTGGTCCAATTATTTGGTCTGTACCTCTGCACGGTACAGACCATGTCTCTCCCACTTGCGAGTGCCGGTGTTTCAGAGAGTTGACACGGGTCACCAGACAATATCTGAGCTTGCAAGGAGAGATGGAGACTGCCCTGCATGCTGCTGGCTCATTTCCCCAGTAATTTAAGCTCAACTACAGCCCGTGAAAGGACAGTGCTGTACGTTTTGAGCCGGCAGGGAACATCTTTTGATCTAACTTGTCAGCCTTGGTCCATGGCCATCACGGCCCACCGGATATTTGACTGCTTTCCCTGATGGTCAGTCCAGGCCTGCCTACAATGTAAAAAATTGCAGTTTTAGAGAAACTACAACATGTACATTGCATGATTAAGACTGATTCCAGTGGCTCTATCCCAGACAGTCTTAAGCATTTCCTGCATTTTCATAGTGTGAAACGACACGGACATCCTCACATCCTCTTTTGCTCGCTGCACATGCGCATTAGTTCCCTCAGTGCAGTGTAGTCGCGGGAGGTGGAGCCCGATCCAGGACCAAAGTACCTGAGCAATGGAGTCAGGTAAGTAAAAGAAAAGGTTTTTAAGCCTTTCTTGACTGCTTTCTTGACAAAAAAGGCACCCAGGGGTCTATCCAGGCTGTGGTTTTGTAAGATTAGTTATTTGAAAGTTTTAGTATTCACAGAAAGTTCTATGAGAACACTGCTGGACAGTAATTCTAGTAAATAACATACTCCCAAGATACAAAGTACAAGTTTAAAAGGCATTGTATTGTGCTAACTTTGTGGATGTTCATCATTTCTGCTACTGGAAATAGCAATGCACATAGGGGAAAGAAAGAACTTGTAACTTCTTCTTCGACAGAGAATATTGGATCGTGTGTTATGGGAAAATAATGCCACCTCAGTATTTCGAGGTCTCCAGATCCCTGATATGTCTTCATTTTACCATAAATACATGATTCACGGTTATGATATCATGATATTTTTTATGTTCGGGTTAGTGTAGATGTAAGGGGATAAATTACGGTTAGTAGGGTCAATGTTTAGAGATAGTCTGTTGGTTTAGGATAATGTAGAAATGAATAGATAATATACATATCAAAATCCTTGCCTGAAAAGTTATAGACCTGTGAGCTTAACTTCTGTAACTGGGAAAATATTTGAAGGGCTATTAAGGGATAATATTCAAGAATTCATTGGGAAGAACTTTGTTATTAGCAATAATCAGCATGGTTTTATGAAACATAGGTCATGTCAAACTAACCTAATTGCATTCTACAAAGAAGTAAGTTGAAGTATAGATCAGGGTGTTGTAGTGGATGTGATCTACTTGGATTTTGCCAAGGCATTTGATACAGTTCCTCACAATAGGTTAGTCTTCAAACTAAAATAAATTGGTCTAGATGAATATTCTTGTTCTTGGGTAGAACATTGGCTTAAGGATAGAGTACAATGAGTTGTAATTAATGGTAAATTTTCAGGCTGGACAAAAGTGGTAAGTGGTGTCCCTGAGGGTTCTGTTTTGGGACCACTTCTATTTAACATATTTATAAATGATCTTGAAATAGGCATTGAAAGCCATGTATCAGTGTTTGCAGATGACACAAAACTTTGTAAAGTAATAAAATGTGAGCAGGATATTGCTTTGCTGCAGAGGGATTTGGATAGATTGGGGGACTGGGCACTAAAATAGCATATGAAATTTAACATAGAGAAATGCAAAGTTATGCACTTCAGGGTTAAGAATGCACAAGCAATTTACACACTAAATGGTAGTGAATTAGGGATAACCACACACGAGAAGGATTTGGGCCAGTGCAAACCTTTATCTGGAAATCTATTCATAAACAGGGCTATACATAGAACACGAGGTCACACATTTAGGCTGGAAGAAAGGAGATTTCATCTAAGGCAAACAAAAGGTTTTTTTACAGTAAGAACAATAAGGATATGGAATTCTCTGCCTGAAGAGGTGGTTTTGTCAGAGTCCATACAGATGTTTAAACTGAAATTGGATAAATACTTCCAAAGACATAACTTACAGGGATATAATTTCTAATTAGTGGGGTAATAGCTGCTTGATCCAAGGAGACATCTGACTGCTATTTTGGGGTCAAGAAGGAATTTTTTCCTAGTTTGTGGCAAAATTGGAAGCGCTTCAGACCAGGTTTTTTGCCTTCTTTTGGATCAACAGCAACAACATATGTGAGGAAGGCTGAACTTGATGGACGCAAGTCTCTTTTTAGCTATGTAACTATGTAATATCAAGGGTGTGAGTTCTCGATCGCCCAACGCTTGGAACATGTAGCTCCGGGAACCAGGCAGTTTTTTCCACCGCAGAGATTGTGTGGACTGCACCTTCTAGTGCACTGGCTCCCTCTCAGTTCAGCATTTACTAAGGCGTTAGAGTGCAGCCCCTGAAACCAGACCACAAGGGAGCCAGTGCTTTGGTTTACAGCTACCGTAGCCATTGTTAAGCCCAAAGTGTAGGCTTGTGCCAAAATAGCAAATGTAATGCTGCGAGTATTTACTCAAATAATACTATCAGGCATGAGATCTCAAATCCCGAGGCAGTGTATTGCTTACTGTATACAGGATGAGTCAACACAATGCTTTCTTACTATACACATTACACAGCTTCCTAACCTGTAACCATTGTCTCAGTGTCTTCCCAAGTTGGCTGAAATTCGTTAATCAACAAGATGGCTGCGGTTTCCAGATGACCAGCACTTCCTCCTCCTCCCTGCATGCACTGCAGCAGGAAAAAAACCCTCTAAAATGGACATCACAGTCACAAGGTCCCACACTGGACCACCAGGGAGTTTTAACCCCACTAGACCATCAAGGAATTTAACCCCCATTGGACCATAGTCCCCATCACTGCAGAAAAATAAGCAGTTGGAGGGATGCAAAGCACAAACACACCACACATATAAACATAACACACACAAACATTACAGACAGTCAGCAAATTTCACATGCTCACTACACCCAGCCAGCAAAAGTCACATACACACATGCTCACTACACAGCCAGCAAAAGTCACATACACACATGCTCACTACACAGCCAGCAATCTGAAATAGCTTGTTTTTGTGGTTCTTGTGCCAGGAGTGCGGTTTTTGAACAGTTTGACTTCTTACACGAGGTCTACCGAATGCTGCTCCTACCTACACTGCTAACAATGAAGAACTTGTCGTTCCTAAGCAGCAGCTCCAGTTAGCTCTCCTGAACTAAGCCCTGACATTCTCCACAAATTAGCTAAGACATGGACTGCAGGATGCAATGCAAATAAGATTAGCAACCTCCAGGGTTAGTAGTGAAGACAAGAAAAGCACCCGGTGGACACCAGGTAAGAAGTCAAACTGTTCAAAAATAGTTCACCTGTTTACAATGGGGGATGCCAGAACAATCCTAGCACCACCTAGCAAGCTGTAGTGGTTCTGCTGCATTGGGTGTCCATTTAAATGGAAAGTACTCTCTAGTCAAGTTCAGCAATTCAGACTCAAAAGACCGGTAGAAGATTGCCCAAACTATTTCATGGTGATGAATGCAGCAGCGTGAGTATATTTTCCATCTCTAATCACTTTGGATTGTTGTTTTTGCATAACATTAAAAAAATGATTTCTCCGTATTATCCATTCATTGAAATAAGAAAGGGTCAGCCCCCAATCAAGCTTGCCTTTTTAAATGTACCCGATTTATTAACTAGTTAGGTATTTTGCCACAATGGAAGCATTTCCCTGTTACACGTGAGTGATTAAAGCAAAAGTAAATATAACAGTAGGAATTACAGTGATATAAAGGCCCAAGCAGCACTAAACCTGCCTGTCTAGAGCAAGAGTAGATATGTACAATATAGCAGCTGTTAAACAAGTCCCAGAAGAATGTATCTTCAGAAGAACAAATCACCATTTTCTATATTTTTCCCCCTATTTTTCTAGGAGTGCAATGATAACATACTTTTACAGTCAATAGATAATAGTTTACATACAGTGCAGATTTCAATGGAGATTGGCACTTTTATAAATTCACCCTGTCAAACCCCTCATCCGCCAGTATTTCAGTGCTTTAACAATTAATTTTAAGGTACTTGCATATTAAACACCTCTGTCCAATGGGGATAGATAGATATATATATAAAAAATACACACACACACACACACACACACACACACACACACAAAGCAAACAAAGGAGATGAGTAAACAATAAGCAAGCCAAGTTATAAAAAACGCTTGTTAGGAAGGGCAGGGCCTGACCACAGAGCTGTGAGGACGCTCACCTCACCAGCTCCTGCTAAACTCGGCACTTAAAGCCAAAATTCACCCTCATACCAGCACTGAATCGTGAATCCAAGGCACCGAGGTGAAGAGAACGACAACTCTCAAGCGAAGAACCGAGCACTACTCACCATGAGGCCTACAAGCATGGCAGGCGCCAGGGAGACGGCTGCTCCCCAGTTGCAACACCATGCCGGGAATCTGACTGCAAACTCCCATCCCCCAAAATGATGACCCCCAAAAAGCTAGTCGACCTACTCCAATCACCATCTTGGCTCTAATAACCATCTTGGTACATATGTGCCATTATCATCTTACAACACAGTCAGTATATAAATCTGCAGACGCAACTTGTAAGCAATCACTACTAACTGACACGTTGATTTCACTCTAGACAAAACTACATCACACAATAAATATAAAATGTGCAGTGTTTATCTATGCCGCATAAATGTTTGCACATGTTGATTGATACGCTGGCAATAGCTATTGTGGCATTGTCTGCCTCATTGTACTTTTTCTTCTTGCATGAAAAAATAAAGAATAAAAAAAAAAAAGCTTGTTAGACACTAACCCATCTATATGTTGTGTAGATTTTCAGTCTGATTTTTTCAGGTGATGCGGTGTATCACATAGGTTTAAATGTTCCAATACAGTTCTCACATCAGTCACCTATACTACAGGTAAAGCCCTTGAAGAAACGAATTACACTCTAGAATAAAACATTGAAACTCTATAAATTCGCTAACTTGTAATAAGGCTAGAGCACAAAAAGAAAGGAGCCAGAAGAGTACCAAGAATTGTGAATTTCCAATGTTAGGACAAAAATCTGATGTACTCTTGTTCCTAAAATCTGATGTACTCTTGTCACAATAATGCCTGATCTAGCTCGGTACAGATTCAGTGCAAGATTTGGCACGTCGCTCAATAGACTGTCAGAAGATCTAAATCATAATCACATTGAAAAAGGCATGTCCCCAATATACCTTGCCCAAGCGAAAAACCCTAGATTACCACACAAAAAAAAAAAAAAAGAAGTATAACAGTACCCTAATATTTTTGTGACTGGTCTTTAGTTGCTGAGTAATAAAGACACAGACGAAGTTCGGAGGTTAGAGGACTTCACAAGTGACTCACTGTACTGTGAACTAAAAAGCAGCACAAAATTCCACAATCTCTATGTGGCCTGCTACAGACTACACATGCAAGTTCTACCCGTAAGCAAAGCACTTCCTGACTCTGATGACCAAACTGGTTTTTTTTTATTTTTTTATGTTTTTTTGACAGTTTCCAAAAATACATTTTAAAAAGATACAACCGTAAAATTTAAGACAGAAAATAAAAAAATATCTGCTAGATAATAAATATGTATTATCTATCAGAGATTTTTTTTTTTTTTTGCTTTAAATTTTACGGTTGTATCTTTTTTAAAATGTATTTTAAAAATCTGATAGGTAGAATTATATATATTCTATCAGAGATTTTTTTTTTTTTTTACCCAGACCCAGGAATATTTCATTGGTAATCAAATAACGTATAAAGAAAACGGCTGGAGAAATGTAAGCAAAAATAAGAATTTGAAGCCGATTAGGACTATCAGTAGACTTTCATGAGCAGCTCAAACATTGCAGGTTTTTTTTGTTGTTGTTTTTTTTTTTTTTTTAACAGAAACTTTTCAGAAATTAAAAAACAAAGCTTAACATTTTTAAGAGCCTTTAAAATCCCTGCAGCTCCTTCACTTGAACAAACAAGCTAACATTACAGAGTTCTGCCCACACCAGGAAGAGCTTTTACCAATCAGGAGTCTCTCATTCTGGTGTAAGGGGTACGATTTTATTTCATAAATCCATCCTCCAGCAGCTGTTCAGCCCTTAGGATGATTGGAACTGCGGAATAAGCCACTTGCGGGGAGGTTTTTCTTTACAGATCTTCTTACAGTTTTGTGAATGGGACTGTGCTGATTTTTTCCACGCACAGAGCCAGTGAAGCACGGTGTGGCCCGAGCAGTATGCCATACATATATTCGTGCTATTGCTCTCAATGAGTGCATTAACTGGCTAAGCCTTCCTACTCATATGACAGAGCAGTGAGTAAGGAAGTTGGGAGGGAGAAGTGACTCGGGCCTGTGCAAAACAGTTTTATTCCTGAATGTAAGAGGGCGCTCAGGCACTCCCGCCCCATAACAATTTAAAATGAGTTATAAGTTGCTATGGGGTGGACATGTTCCTTTAAGGGTGCTAGTGATTCCATTGAGACAGTTAAGTCCTGGAAGATTTCTGATAAAGTAAAACTGTGTAAGTATGGAAAATCTCAAACGATTATTCTGTGTGAAAAAAAAATAAAACCACAAAGATATGAAGTTCATGAATGACATAATTCTGAAAAAGATTCACACAGGAAATGTGTGAGAACCATCGATTGCCCGTTCTTATGTATGTGTGTTTTTATACACAAAAATTAATAAACTGAACAGCACAAATATAAAACCATAAAAACACACTTAAAATACCTTAAGTGCAAAGCATATAAAGTGCCTTATAAATAAAACACCTACACCATGAGTATAAAAGTGATGAAAATTGTATAATATATATATATATATATATATATATATACATACATACATACATACATACACACACACACACACGTATACCCCCTTATAGAAGGTAATAAATGTCTAGATGGAGAGCAAAGAGAGAACTCTAACAGGATAATACAGCAGGACATCAATATAAAATAAGTATAAATGTGTGTTTTTATGCATTTATTTCAAAGTAGGAAATTCCAATTTTTTTTATACATTGCTATATTTCTATAGTTGACTGAAAATAGTGCCTGGGATAAGCTCTGAAATTGCACCCCTTGCAGCCCCTGTCCAAACATCTGACACCTATCGTTTAGAGCGTTACCAAACAATCTACTCAATAATACAAGCTGTGTGTTGTGCACTGGCTGTAAGTGATGTGTTTGGTCGTGCTCTGTGTAGCACCCTCCTGCTTGGTTTTCTATGGAAGGGGGAATCTAATCCCCGATGGTTCAATGGGTAAGAGGTAGAATCATGCTCCTCGATGGTCCAGCAGGGATTAAGTCTGGGGAAGTGTGAGGTTTGCACCACTGGCAGATGCAGACCTCACCAATATCTGCCTCGCAGTCCAGCACTCAGCGAGTCAGAGTGCAAGCTAGGAATATTCAGCAACTGCGGTCTGACTCACTAGAGTGCCTGGACCGCAAGGGAGCCATTACTGAGGTCTGCACAGGCTGAAGGTGCAAACCTCATGCTTCCAGTCATTTCCCTCCCCCCCCAAGGCAGCCCTGCCACTTGCCCACAGCAGGGCTAAAAGAATAAAACAAACTGCCTGCCCAGCCCTTTTCAGTGGCACATGCCACAATGCCATAACCTATTACCACGGATACAACTAACATTTAAAACATGCCTCTATGATGTATTTGAAGGTAATCTCAGATTTTAGCCTTTTTGTGCATAGAAAGGGCCCAGCAAGCTAGCATACTCCTTTGAAGCTATGGAAGAAAGAAAAAAAAAGAAAAATCTAAACCTAATCTACTATGAACTGTTGCACATAAGTAGAATGACCCCTGTGCTGACAGAGGTGCAAGCCTACCTTTGGAAGCATCATTGGGGTATCATTAGCCAGCCCAGAACAAGTTAGGTACTATTACTTCTGTGCATGCGGTATGTCTGCAGGCACAGCACACTGGTGAACGGCTTGCAATGCCGCACACACCCATTGCCCCAGCTCTTTGAAGGGGTGCTGTCAGTGGAAGAGGATTGTTCTTTATCTTCTAACCTGATCTTGTAGTCAAGCATTTGAAGACCACTATGCCATGATATATATGTGTTTTTTGGTCTCGGTGGTGGTATTAGTTGAGAATGTAGATAGTGCCTCATTAACCTCGGTTAACAAATTTTCATTTAAAAGGGTCACCTTAGTGTCACTAACACACACACGTGTATTCCTGACACTATAGTTCTAAAATATCAGGAATACACGTGTGTGTTGGAAAGGTGACTTACTCACTTTTTTCTAGTGCCGCACAGGGCTCCTCGCCTCTGGCGCTTGCCCCTCTGCCCGCCTCCACCTTGGCTGAAATAATCATCAGAACTTCCCCTAGGAAAGCATTGGAGTCGATGAGATCGTCAATTCTAACGATGTCAGCCAAGGCGGAGGCGGGCCAGAGGAGAGCCAAACAAAGTCCTGACCAATCAACATCTCCTCATAGAGATGCATTGAATCAATACATCTCTATGAGGAAAGTTCAGCTGTAGTTGTTCTGGTCACTTAAGTGTCTCTTTATGTTTTCCTGTTAATTTGGTAGTCTTGTCTGGTGTTCCAGGGCTGATAGCTTTTCTAAAATTATCCCTCTAATATCTGAAGCAGCTTTGCCATTCCAGGGCACAGGTACAGGTTGGCAATCCTCTAAGTGTAGATGTGGCTCCTAAAGTTAAGCAGGTTTGAGGTTCTCACTTTGTGTCCATGAATAGTATGGTCCAGTAGCACATCATCAGATTGCCCTGGTTCCCTAGCATCTGTCATGGACCTTGGGTATCTGGGGAGCTTGACTCTCTTGGTTCATATTATGCTCATATTTTGATGTAGGCAAATATATACCAGGGAAATTTGCTGGTGAGGTAACCTGGCAGGGATACTTAAATAATATATTGCTGTACAATTTTAAGTCCTATGTTACTACTCAAGCATTAAGAGTTACTTGCCTCTGCAAGCCTTGAGAGTCCAAGGCATACTTCACCAAGGGTGAATTTCAACAAGGCAAACTAACAAGTATTTGCAACAGGACAAGTTGGATATACAGTAACAGAATGTGCGGAGGGCTATATATCTTGAGCATGAGTGCCTTACCATATTTGGGATAAGTATTGCATGAATTGGGCCAGATATCCAAGCTTATAACAGGTTCATACTACATCCAACAGTCAAAGTTGCTCAATTTCATGCTGGAGCAACTGAAATGTTACACAATTTTCATATTCACATTGTACGATTTGTCAAATTACATGAGGTTTTCTTTTTTCCCCAAGATTGCTATCTGGGATTTTATAAGAATAAATTCTTCTGTATGAAGTAAAATAAAGGGGCAGTATAAGCAATATAGCCAATAAACATAAATCTCTGGGTTTCATCCTCTAGTTTTGTGCTGTATAATGTTTGTTGTGCTAAATGACTGCATTCAACAACCACTTCCCAAGGGGACTTATGCTTGAGGAGCTCCAATCTCGGATTCCTGATTTACATAAAGAATTAAGACATTGTGTTCCATTACCAAAAAGATACAGCTAAACTACACAAAAATAGATTTTGTTTATTTCAAAAGAATTAAAAACAATCACATAATGCAAACAGTAATGGCTTAAAGATTCACATAAATGGTCAACGCATTTCGTAAAGAACGTACTTTTTCAAGATCACTCAAGTTCCATTATAGCAGGATTTTATTAATGACACGGAGGCTCCTATTATGCTATCTCTTTCTTACTTTATTCCTCAGCAGCAAAGAGAAATATAAAACTGAAAGAGAAAAAATGTAGATATGCAATAATAATAATAATAACAGGTACAACCAGATCTGCCTAGTAACAGGGCAGCCAATCAGTCTCTAGGAACAGTCCATAAATCTCTATCCTTGTACTTCCACTTCCTCTTTCTTTGCTGCTGTCCTCAGACCAGCTAAGTATAATTTTTCTCTCCTACTTGGTTTTTGATTGATGGGTTTTACTAAGGTTTTTTGCCTGTGTTATTTTATGTTATCGTTTTCTGTTTGCTTATTGTCTTTTATTTGCCTTATTGACAGGCTTTATGTTGATGTTCTTTTGATTGGTATACCTTTTTTGGTGGTACATATTGTTTGCCTCCCCTGCGTTTGCCCGCCGCTTCCCCTGTCTGTCTGGCCGTCCCCCTTTCAGACAGGGTTCGCGGCTAGCAGGGGAGGTTCATTCTGGAGCCCTCTGCTCCCCGGTCCCCTTTCCCTCGCGGCCGCGTGTGCGGCTGCGCTTATCTGCCAACCCGATCTCCCGCTGGTGCGAGGAGTGCCGGCCGCGTGTGTGGTCGCGCTCCCCGCCCATTAGCAGGGGAGGAGCCTGGAAACGGCCGCGGCGCGTTCTGCGCGCGGCGGCCATCTTACCCTCGGTTTCCACGCGGCTGGGTCGGCTCCCTTTTACCTCCCATTACTGTGTGCAAGTATTTATATATAGTTTGTTTGTTCCTGGTGGGTTACTCAACCCTTTATACTGTGTAGGTTTATTTTTCTGTCACCTGTTTTAGTTTATTTAGGTTTTACAGATTTGCTCTGCTCCTTGTCTCAGATATTTAAAGGGGCAGTACTTGCAGTTTCTATTTGACTCTGTTAATTATGCAGGCTAGGAGTGAGGGTTCTGGTAGTCCCAGTTACCCCATTATGGACTCCTCTCAGACCCCTATTACAGGGGGTATGGGCCTTACTCCCTCACAGGAGTTCCAGGCCCTTTTTGATTCCACCATGCAGAAGGCCCTGGCTTCAGCCATGGGGACAGTGTCCTCGTCCCTCTCTCACACTATTCAGCAAGCGCTGTCGCAACCTTTGGGCCCTGCCGTGTTGCCTGCTCCCCTGCCTGCGCTGCAGCCTCATACGGGTCGCAAGGCACAAACAAAATTTAAACATGTCTCTCCAGAGATGACGCAGGTGACACCTGCCTTGACTGACGTGCCTATGGCCGTCCCAGATGGCGCGTTTCCGCGCAAGAGAGCCGCTGGCCGGGCAAAATCGGCCAGAAAATGGAAACGGGCACGTGCCCGAGATGATGATGGATCGGATACCGATCAAACTGGAGAGTCAGACTCGGATCCCCCTGATTAAGCCTCCTATGAGGAAGGGGTTTCCGGCGATGAGGCGGAGTTTGACGCTTCGGCGCTTCCGCCGGGTGAGGGGCAGGACATCTGTGATCCTCAGGGTTACCCCCTGTTCGATCCCGATGACCTTCGCCATCCCCGCTCGGCGGAATGGGACCCGCCCGCGCATATTGCCAATTATCTGGCGCTTCGTATGCGTACCCCCCTTTCCAAGGAGGGGCGCAGTAAACTGAGGGCCGAGTGCCCAAGGCCTTCGGTGCCTGATTCGGCGTGTAAGACGCCAGAGGTTGACCCCCAGATTTCTCAGTTCTTAACTAAGACGGGTTGGAAGCCCCGAAAAGGACTGGAATTTTCGCTGCATAATTGCCAAGACAAGATCTTGGATACCCTGGGCCCCGCCGCCAAGCTTTACGAGCTTCTGGAAGCGGCTAAGGCTGGAACGAAGCCTATTGATTTGGATGAAGCGATTGGGTGGGTCCAGAGGTTGATTTGCCTTCTCGGCAACGCGAACACAGCCATGTCGGCTGAACGCCGCAAGGCGATTCTACTCAAAATTGAGCCCAAGTTAGTTAACCTGGCAGTGAAGGAGCCTGGTGCTTCGGCCAAGGGTATGCTCTTCGGAGAATGTTTTGTTAAGGACTTAGGCTCCTTTGTCCGTACCTTTACCGCGCTAGATAAGGCGCAGTCCAACCTGAAGAGGGTGTTCGGCCCTAAGGTTTCCCATGGGGCCGGGAGGTATAGGAGCCGTCCGCCCGGCCGTGGAGCTCGAGGTCCCACGAGGACTCACAGAGGTTCCTTTTCCGCCCCCCGGACCTACCAAGACTATAAGCCAACGCCCTTTTTTCCCTCACGGGGGAGACCATGGCAGAGTCGGGGAGGTCGTGGACAACCCTCATACAGACGCCCATACGGTGAGTACACCAACACATGTATCTTGCAGAACGAGTGTGGGGGGCAGATTGGCACTGTTTCTCGATGTGTGGAGTATGATCACCACGGATGTTTGGGTTCTCAGTGCGGTCAGGGGTTTCCGCCTGGATTTGTTGTCTCCCCCTGTCCAGACGTTTCTCCCACAGGAGCTGAAATTACCAGCAGAACAGGCCGGATTAATTACCGCAGAGATTGCGGAACTGTCTGCCAAACGAGCTATTCAAGAAATCCCCTACGGACACCCGGGATTTCTAAGCAACCTGTTTCTTGTCGCCAAGAAAGGCGGAGGCGTACGTCCAGTGATAAACCTCAAACACCTCAATTCTTTCCTACGTTACCATCACTTCAAGATGGAGGGCGCTCATTGTCTCAGGGACCTGCTCCGTCAGGGAGACTGAATGGTCAAACTAGACCTCAAAGATGCCTACTTGACTATACCCATGGCAGAAGAGCATTGGGACTTATTGCATTTTACGTGGCAAGGTCGTCGATGGCGTTTTACATGTCTGCCGTTCGGTCTATCTTCAGCTCCGTGGTGCTTCACGAAAGTAATGAAGCCCGTGGTGGCCTTCCTCAGGGCACGATGGGTCCGCATGATTATCTACCTGGACGACATACTGATTATGTCTTCATCCCCCGAGCAACTTCTCAGGCACCTGAGATGGACGGTGAGTCTCCTGGAGAGACTAGGTTTCCTCGTCAACTGGGAAAAATCCATTGTGACCCCCGTACAAAGGATAGAGTTCCTGGGCTTCGAGGTCGATTCAGTCACCCAGTTTCTGTTCCTCCCGGAGGCAAAACTCCGATCGATGAAAAAGGAGATACGACGGGCGCTGCGAGCCACCTCTCTCTCCGTCCGGCAATTGGCGAGGGTGATCGGCCTGTTGGCCTCATCGATTCAGGCAATTTTTCCGGGCCCACTGCATTATCGAGCACTCCAACGTTTGAAAGGGTCCCATCTTCGCTCAAGGGGCTCGTACGAGAGCGTGTTGACCCTGGACGGGGACTCCAGAGACGAACTAAGGTGGTGGCTGGACCACATGGAGGCCTGGAACGGCCGGGCGATCTTCGGCTCCGCGCCGGATGTGATAATAGAGTCGGATGCAAGCCTGCATGGCTGGGGCGCTCGCTGTGGCGGTGTCTCCACCGGTGGAAGATGGTCAGAGATCGAATCGGCTCTGCACATAAACTGCCTGGAACTTCTGGCGGGTTCGTTTGCCATTCGAAGTCTATCTCCGACGCAGGGAAATTGCTGCGTCCTCCTACGTATGGACAATGTGTCCGCTGTCAGGTACATAAACCACCTCGGGGGGACAAAATCGAAGCAGTTGGCGAACTTGGCAAAGGATTTCTGGCAGTATTGCCTACACAATGCCGTATCGGTTACGGCCGAGCACATTCCGGGTCTGGACAACGAGTGGGCGGATTGGAACTCGCGCTACCTGAAGGATTCAGGAGACTGGCACTTGCTGTCCTCGACATTTCAAAGGATAGAACGGTTGTGGGGTCCACTTCACCTGGATTTGTTCGCGTCCAGATTGAACACCCAACTACCCCAGTACTTCAGTTGGAGACCGGACCCAGCGGCCACGGCAGTGGACGCGTTCTTGCAGACGTGGCCGCCGGGACGCCATTATGCGTTCCCACCGTTCAACCTGATATCCCGGTACTCGGCCAGGCAGAATTGCACGATAGTAATGGTAGCTCCGCTCTGGCACTCTCAACCGTGGTTTCCCCGCCTTCTGGAGATGGCCATAGATTTCCCACGGATAATCGAAATGAGGCCGGATGTGCTTCTGGATCCGGATGGGAAATTGCACGAATTGGTGGATCAGAACTTACTTCAACTCACGGCTTGGCTAATCTCGGGAGACCCTGGTGTGTCACGGACGTTTCGCAGACAACTGCTCGACTATTGGAGAATGCCTGGGCACCAGGTACCAGAGCGGCTTACAGGACCGCATGGCGCGTGTGGTCTGGCTGGTGCTTGGGAAGATTGCTGGATCCACTTTCTGCCCCTCTAAATGCGCTGCTTGGTTTCCTGACGGAACGTTTCGATTCTGGTTTGGCTTATCGTACCCTTAATGTCTATAGATCAGCCATTTCGGCCGGACATCAAGGGATAGACGGATCTCCGATCGGACAACATCCTATCGTGTGCCGCTTGTTGAAAGGTATCCGCTTTGCTAGACCGCCAAGATCTAGATACTCATCGTTTTGGGACGTTAACGTCGTCCTTGGATTCTTGGACTCCTGGCCCTGTAATGAGGACTTGACACTCAAGCAGTTATCATGGAAACTGGTCATGCTCCTGTGTCTACTTTCGTGTAAGAGGGTGTCGGACGTCAGGGCTCTGGACTGGAACGTCTCGTTCACCCCCGGAGGTGTGTCGTTTAATATCTCGAGGAGGACTAAGTCGGCTTCCAAGTCGGTGGACTACCCTAGATGCTCCATCAGACCTGCTTTGTGTCCTGTGGCTTGTCTCCAGGTTTATTTGGATCGTACCCGGCTGCTGAGGTCAACTAACTTGCCTCCACTCTTTATTTCCTTGAAAGCACCGTTTCTACCGGTCTCGTCGCCGACGCTCGCCCGCTGGGTTAAAGATCTCCTTTCTGCTGCGGGTATCGACACTTCGGTTTTTTCGGCTCATTCAGTTAGGGGTGCCATGGCATCAAAGGCTTCTACGATAGGATGTCGCCTAGACGATATCTTGAAAGCGGCAGATTGGTCTAAGGAATCTACGTTCCGTGATTTTTACTTCCGCCCGATTGAACATGTTTCTTCATTGGTTGTGGCTCAGCTTTAAACTAGCATAATAGGAGCCTCCGTGTCATTAATAAAATTCCCAGATTTTACTATTAACATGACGTAAAGTCACCCGTGGGTCTGGGTCTGGTTTTCGCTTAGGGTTCAATCGGGGGGTTCGTCTTATCTCACGGTAAGTACACATGAGGTACTTGTATTGAGTATATGGTGTTCTAGAGTGTGACAAATGTACATGGATTTTGATTATGATGCTCTTTATCTGCAGGTCACGTATATTCGATATGTTACACTCAGTTCCTAAGTTTGGAGTTTACCACATATTTCTTTGTTTTACAGCTTGATTCCGGTCTGTTGATGTCTACCGGTTTGACGTTTCTTAGTTACTGCTTGGATATTTTGCTTTGGGTCTTCGGTTCGGAAGGCAAAGAAGAGGAAGTGGAAGTACAAGGATAGAGATTTATGGACTGTTCCTAGAGACTGATTGGCTGCCCTGTTACTAGGCAGATCTGGTTGTACCTGTTATTATTATTATTGCATATCTACATTTTTTCTCTTTCAGTTTTATATTTCTCTTTGCTGCTGAGGAATAAAGTAAGAAAGAGATAGCATAATACTCGCCTCCGTGTCATTAATAAAATCATGACTTTACGTCATGTTAATAGTAAAATCTGGGAATTTTAGAGCCACATATGGATCAATCACCAGATAACACAACTGGAAACAACAGATTATTCATAAAGTAAGCTCAACTACATCAACCAGCCAGGACCTAATCTCATCAGGTTAATTTACCCCTCTCGCAGCCATATCCCTGCCACAGGACCGGATTACTTTCACTATACACATAGAATGCATCCATATAGGGAGGAAACTCTTGAGAAATACATATAATCTAAGACTACAATGTTATACTTTAACTCAAACAAAATTAAATGGGAAAAAAAAAATTAACACAACATGCACGTAAAGACAAAGTGAAAGTACAGGCCAGTGGTTTCCAAACTTTTTAGGTCCGAGGCATCCTTAATATTTCAATATTTTTTCTAAAGCGCCCTAAATCAAAACATTTCTAGATTATATATATGTACAGCGCTGCATCATATACTGGGCCCCTGTTCAGCAGAAATGTTTTCCGGTCAGGGGCAGATCCAGAACCTAATCTTGGGAAGGGCACTGGTAGATTATTTAAATAAATAATGAAGGCACAATAACCACTACAGCATTTTTGGGCGGGCCGCTACTTCCGAACTTAGATTGTGTCACATCTCCCAAGCAACAGTAGACGTGCGAGATTGTTCCATGCCACATGATTCACTCGCGGACGCGGCTGGAAACTATAAGTTAAATTCTTATACTCCATAGCAACCCCTGTAATAGACAGTTCCATACACCAATAGGATGTTATGGAGATTAACCAAAATAGGTGCGTTTCACAGATAGCATTCTATTTAAACACATAAAAGCTGAGCCTTCATTGCTCAGTTGTTCTGTGCTACCTACCCTGTTACCTTGCTGTATTCTACCTGCTCTCATGGATTTACCCGACCTTTGGCTTGATTACCGTTTGTGAACCTTGCTGCCTGGATTTTGACCTTGAAATTCCTGACCTTGCCTTTGCCTTGCCCCTTATCAGACTCTGTTTGCTTTGGACTTTCTTTGCTTATTTTTCCAGTACTGCATTTTGGGTTCCACAACCCCAAAACGTGAGATAATGCACTATTGTCTTTTTCTGTTCTTCTGCTCTCTTTCATACCTGGTCATGAAATGAAGCCAAATTCAGGAACAATATATGGAAACTTGTGACAAGAAGTAATACTATTCTGGGACTGTACCTGGTAACATGGTATACCTTCCTGTATTTGTCCGTGAACTTTGTTTTACCTGTATTTCTAAGGACTTTATTTTAATTTAAAGTTGTGGTTTTATATATTTCACCATTGGCGCATTCCTGTACTTTGGTCTTTTATTGCAACATGACAATGACTGATCAATTAAACATAATTCAGATCCACAAGAATTTTAAACACATGCATAATATTTGCAAATCATCTTTTTAACAGAGCACCCTAAACCTGCTCCACTCAGAATCAAGTCTCGATATAAAGAAATAAATTGTATGAGAAATAATATTTTTGAGTACTAGAGACTGGGTGTATCAGTTTATTGACCACATGGAGTGACCAAAAGGTGTGTGTGTGTGTTTGTATATATATATATATATATATATATATATATATATATATATATATATATATATATATATATATATATATATATATATATATATATATCACGTAGTTAAAGGAACTACTAATTACTTGGTGCTTGCCCTCCTTATAATGACTGTCACCAGAAAAAAAATAATGAGAATTACATAATACAATTTTCATGAAATGTTGATAAAGACTGCTCTGGAATTTCAGTGAAATTCCAATGCAGTCAGAAGATATCATAAGACAAAATATGGACTCCTTTGTTTATGGTAAAATCCTACTTTGACCACTATCAAGTTGACCGTATAATAATATCCACAGAGGCACCCACAGTCTTGGGGGAACCTCCATAGAGATTAGTGGTGCACTATCGCACTACTGTAAGAGTACAGCACTGATGCACAAACCTCATCACAATACCCTGCCCTTTACCCTCACCTACCAAAATTAATTGTGCGCTCTGGAATGCCCGCTCCATCTGCAGTAATTTAAAATCAACAACCATACACGACTTTTTCATCTCAAACTCACTCACACTGCTTGCACTTACAGAGACCTGGCTGTCCCCTTCTGATAGCGCTACTCCTGCCTCTTTATGTTTTGGTGGAGTACAATTCTCTCACACTCCCAGACTCAACTGTAAAGGAGGCAGCGTAGGCATCCTTCTCTCCCCTCAATGTACCTTTCAACCAATCATAACTCCCCCTGCCCTATCCTTTTCTTTTTTGAAGTTCACACTGTCCGCCTATTTAAATCCACCCCTTTAAGAATTGCTATCATCTACCGCCCCCTGCCTCCCCCCCCCCCGGTTATCCTAGGGGTAGGCAACCTTTTAGCAGAACTGTGTCGATATAGGATTGTGATGTCCTGTAGCGTGCCGTTCATATTTTTTTAAATTGAGGTGTGTATGCTGCCGTATTATGCTTGTGTTATTTTTTACTGTAAGTGCTTTGTATCGTTGTATTTGTGCGTATTTGAGCTATTATATTGTATATGAGTAGTTTATGGTATTGTGTAGGATACATATGAATGTGGGCTGTGTATGGGGGCTGCTTGTGGAATTGTGGGTGAATGGATATGTCACATTGTGTGTTTGGTAGTGTGTGGGGGCTGTTTGGGGTATTGCATGTGAGAGGCTGCATATGGGGTTGTGTGAATGTATGTGGATTTTTAGCGGGTCACGTTTGTGTGGATTGTATGTATGTTTGTGTGTGGGCTGTTCATATTATTTGTATGAGGGGAGTGTTATTCTGCATTTCTGTGTATATCTTGCAGTGTGTGTGGCTTCCCTGGGTTCCAGTGGAGACCAGGCTGGCCAGGTACAGGTCAAGGACAGGAGCTGCGGGCTGCTCTACTACAGTGTGGATTCCCATTCAGAAGTGCTGGGAGGAAGTGATCTGTGATCACTTCCTCTATGTACTGCAATGCTTAAATTGAGGATTGTCCTTCACCACCTCTTCGTATTAGCAGATATCTGAAGTTTTACTGGGACTCCTGATAGGCCAGAGCCTGTTTGGCTCTAGCAGCCTTGAGTGCCGTAGGTTGCCTACCCCTGTCCTAGACTGTTCATGGAGCAATTTTCTTCCTGGCTTCCCCACTTCCTCTCATCTAGCACTCCTTCCCTTATACTTGGGGATTGCAATATCCCAATCAGCAACCTCAATTGCACTGATACCTCTCGTCTGCTCTCTGTACCTCCTCCTTTGGCCTTACACAATGGTCCGTTTAGCAACCCATACAGCGGGAAACATCCTTGATCTTGCCTTCACCAACCTCTGTACTGCCTCTAATCTCTCCAATATTCCTTTTCCACTCTCTGACCACCATCTGCTGACTTTTGACATTGGCATACCTAAGACCCAATTGACACCACCGTCTGAACATCACTCTCACAGAAACCTCCAATCTCTTGACCTAGAGCATTTCTCCACTAATCTCCAAACTCTGCTTTTACCTATCTAAAACCTCACATCCTAATTCTGCAACCTCCTTCTACAATTCCACCCTCTCCTCTCAACTAGACATCATGGCACCTTGTACACTTAAACGCCGCAGGCCCCCTCAACAACAACCCTGGCACACCAAGATCACTCGATACCTCCAAAAATGCTCCAGAACTGCTGAACGCTGTTGGAGAAAGTCTCACTGTGCATCTGACTTTCTCCACTATAAATTTATGCTGAGCTCATACAGCTTGGCTCTTTCATCTGCAAAAGTTAATTACTTCAATACCCTCATAACCACACTCTCCCACGAACCCAAACGACTATTTCACACATTTAACTCTCTTCTTCGCCCTGCTGTTCCTCCTCCACCTACTAACTTGACCGCCTCAGACTTTGCAACTCACTTCACTGACAAGATCTCTACAATCAGAGAAGAGATCTCTCATCTTTCTTCTTCCCCTTACAATACTTCCCCTAACTTCACTCCCTCTGCTGTTCTATGTTCATTCGCACCCGCTACATTGGAAGAGGTTTCTGCTCTGCTCCAGTCCTCCCACCCCACCACCTGCTCCCTAGATCCAATTCCCTCGCATCTCATCCGTACTCTGTCTTCTTCTCTTTCTCCACCTCTCACTAAAATTCTCAATCTCTCTCTCTCCTCTGGTATATTTCCATCGCCCTTCAAACATGCAACTGTAACCCCAATTCTAAAGAAGCCCAATCTTGACCCTAACTCCCCATCCAACTATCATCCTATCTCGCTACTGCCTTTTGCATCCAAGATCCTTGAAAGAATTGTGTATGCGAGACAGACTTCCTCGAGTCCAACTCTCTGCTAGACCCGCTTCAGTCTGGTTTCCGCGCTAAGCACTCTGTGGAAACGGCACTGACCAAAGTATCCAATGATCTACTCGCTGCAAAATCTCGTGGTCACTACTCTATCCTAATTCTCCTTGACCTGTCTGCGGCTTTTGACACTTGATCATCAACAGCTTCTTCTCATCCTCCGCAATATCGGTCTACAAGATATTGCTCTCTCCTGGTGCTCCTCCTACCTCTCCCAGTGCTCTTTCAGTGTTTCTTTCTCTGGCTCTGCTTCTTCTCCCCAACTCCTTTCTGTTGGTGTCCTCCAAGGTTCAGTCCTTGGTCCCCTACTGTTCTCCATCTATACTGCCTCCCTTGGTAAACTCATTCGCTCCTTTGGCTTCCAATATCATTTCTATGCAGATGACACGCAAATCTACCTGTCCCCTCCCCGTCCCTCTTGACTAGTGTCTCTGATTGCCTTTCTGCTGTTTCTGACTGGATGGCTGCCCACTTCCTTAAACTAAACTTGACCAAAACTGAAATTCTGGTCTTTCCTCCCTCAAGTGTTGTTACTCCTGTGTCTGTCTGTCTCCAAGTCAACGGTGCTACCATCAGCTCCACCACGCAGGCTCGCTGCCTAGGTGTTCTCTTTGACTCCGACCTCTCCTTCAAGCCTCATGTTCAATCTATTGCCAAATCCTGTCATTTCCATCTCAAAAACATTGCGCGCATCCGCCCCTACTTAACACCAGATGCGACTAAGATGTTGGTGCATTCCACTATCCTTTCTCGCCTTGACTACTGTAATCTGCTTCTCAGTGGTCTTACGTGCTCCCAACTTGCGCCGTTACAGTCCATAATGAATGCGGCGGCGAGGCTCATTTTCCTGTCCGCCCGCACCTCCCATGCCTCACCCTTCTGTCAGTCCCTAGATTGGCTTCCTATAAAATATAGAGCTCAATTTAAAATTCTGGTTCTTGCTTTCAAATCGCTACATAATGCTGCTCCCACCTATCTATCTTCCCTTATACACAAGTATGTCCCGTCTAGGTCCTTACGATCTGCTGAAGACTTACGTCTATCTTCTGCCCGTACTCCCACCTCTGATGCCCACCTTCAAGATTTCCCGAGGGCTGCACCGTTTCTGTGGAACTCGCTTCCCTCCTCCGTTAGATGCTCACCCAGTCTCCACTCCTTCAAAAAATCGTTAAAAACCCACTTCTTCATACAAGCGTATCAATTAAACTGTTAATAGCTCCTGACTTATTCCTCTTCTGCAACTGTCACTAATCTAATACTATCCTTACCTTTTGTGTCATTTTACCCCACTCCCTCTAGAATGTAAGCTCATTGAGCAAGGCCCTCAACTCCTCTGTTCCTGTGTGTCCAACTTGTCTGGTTACAACTACATGTCTGTTCGTCCACCCATTGTAAAGTGCTGCGGAATTTGACGGCGCTCTATAAATATAATAATAATAATAATAATGTGAGCTTCTGGTGGATGAAGTACCAGGAGCTGAAGAAAGTAGATAGCGGTGGCCATGGGGGGACAGCCAGGGCCTCATCAGGGAATGACAACCATAATGGTTGTCACAGGCCTGGCGGTTCTGAGGGGCCCAGACTGCTCTGGGAATCCTGGGCCTCACATTCCATTTTTGCAATCAATAATATATATATCTCGCTATATATAGGGCCCCCGTAACTGGTATAATGTAGAAGGGACCTTGCCAGCACCAGCTTAACTTTCCAGCAGCTCCTGTACCTGCAACTCTCGCGAGCCCCGCAGCCAGCAGTGCGTGGCCATGGGTTACCATGGCAATGCTCCACACAGGCAAAGCTCACACGAGTTAGACACAGGAGCTGCTAAAAAGTTAAGCTGGTGCTGGCAGGGTCCCTTCTACATTATGCAGCGGCTGGTTCCCTCCATCATAACACCAGGGATGCAATCTCCCCCCTCCCTGGCCAGGTAAGAAGCAGAATAAAATAGTGTGTTAAATAAACGTAAATACCACCAAAAAGGCTCCCCTCTCCCCCAAATGCAGCCCCTATTTTATACATTTACACACACACTACATCCACTACACAAGCACACACTGCATCCACCATACACACACAGACGCTCTGCATCCAATACACAGAAACACTGCATCGACTATACACACACACACACACACAGCATTCTTGTGGGTGGACACAGAATGGTCCCTGTGGGCGGACAAGGAGGTGGGCCTTGGGGGCCCAAACCTTGAACTGTGTCAGGGGCCCCAAAATTTCTGATGGCAGCCCTGGGGACAGCATCAAGTTACTATAATACACCATAGCTTCACACCCCAGACCACCACATCCCAAGCAGAGATGCCACCACTGGGGATCTTTGCAAAATAGCCCTCGCAGGCTGAGAACATGAGCAGATCATGGTTGCCTAGGGGGACCGAGGTAAATTGTCCAACCATTCTAAAACAGTAGGGCAAATTACACTGGGAGGGCACCAGGATACTCATGGAACCATAACCACTACAACAAGGTGCAGTGGTTATGGTACTCGAAGCGTTTCTTTAACAAAAGACACCAAATCTCCCACAAGTCTGTATCCCCACGTGGTTATTCATAAAAGGTGTGTAGTGTCCATATTTTTCCAATATTTAAATTATAATTCTATATTTATATAATGTACGAGAAGCATCGGCTAAGTGTCATGCAGAAAAATAGTTGTCAATGCTTCTCGATGGCAAAAAGCATTGGGTTCAAGAGATCATAAGTCTGAATATCTAACCTCAGGTAAAGGAACTGCTGGGAGGAGACTGTCCCTTTGCTGGACTACAATAAAGGTTAGAAACCTATTATTTTAGCAGTAAGAGGCCCTAAATATAAAAACGAGCAACCCTCTATTGTTTAAAATAAATAGATTTCCTTTAAGAACCACCACCATAGAAAGAAACCAGATTTCTAACTCTGCTCAGCTCAGGGCCACTTGGATCACTGTGTCCTAATCTCGCTCTATATTTCTGGATTGGGAAACAGGCCCTGCCATTGCAATTTTATTTTCCTCCTATTGTCAGATGCATTTATTTATTTATTATTGCCATTTATATAGCACCAACAGATTCCGTAGCGCTTTACAATATTATGAGAGGGGATTTAACTATAAATAGGACAATTACAAATAAACTTACAGGAACAATAGGTTGAAGAGGACCCTGCTCAATCGAGCTTACATTCTATAGGAGGTGGGGTGTAAAACACATTAGGACAGGAATTTGCAATCAAATAAGGTGGGCTGCCCTTTAGGAGAGGGCAAGAGACGGGTATGTGAGGTAGGGGTTAGTCTTGGAGGCCATAAGCTTTCCTAAAGAGATGGGTTTTAAGGCACTTCTTAAAAGATGCAAGACTAGGGGAGAGTCTGATGGTGGGAGGCAGGCTATTCCATAGGAAGGGAGCCGCCCGCGAGAAGGGATTGAGACATTTGGGTGTTTTTACCCAAGCAGAAGTGGCTCAGCAGCATTCTCCGCACGTCCTGGCACACTGGTCAAGTTGTCAAGTCTGCGATCACGTCAATACACAATGTCCCCAGCGTTACGTTGCGCTTTTTGGATACATTTCCCAGCATGCATCAATCGCAAACACTGCATCACTGACTTTTACCCTTCTCAGTTCTCAGCCAGACAACCTCTACTCCTAATCCCATACCTTCAAAACCAAGTTCACATACAATGGATATACTTTAGGCATAATCTAATGAAGATGTTCTGCAGAACATAAATAAAAAAATCATTTAAATAAATGTCTGGTAAAGTTAATGTCAGATACACAGATTGGCTTCCTGTTAAACACAATGTTTTAGAAGAACTGATTGGTTGGAAAAAGTGTGATTTCATGACCTGGGTTCCAGGTCAACCAAGGGCTGATTGTCTGCATTTTGTTTATAGCCTGTTTATAACATGCTGTACCAGAATTTTTGGCTCATGTTTCACCAACCCCCTTGGATGACATGCCCTACAACCAATCATGTGCTACTGTATCTGCGATGGTTTGTGTGTTCGGGATCTCCTGTCTCTGTATAACTCGTTGAAAGTGGGTTTTACGTCCTCTGCTGTTACTAGTGATCACTTCTTCATACTGATGGGCTCTGCAAGAAAAGCGCTGGGAAGTAGTTTGCAGCACTCATTTGCTGCTGGAGAGAAATCAATTAACCAATGAAGGAAGACATTGGGGTCCTTTTTGGTTTCCTGCCTTCATACTTACAGGGCAGCACTTTACATTCCATGTCCATTTGCATGCAAAAATAATGTGTCAAAGGAGAAAAAAAACATTTTGCATCTGGCAAATACAGCTGGAGTACTCATATCTAACCATAGCTAGTAAATACACACAATCAGCGTTCTAACCAGCCTCCCAAACGTCACCAAATAGAATCATATGAGCCACATAACATGTGTATCAAAATCTGAAACAGATACAGCACTTCCTGTACATTTTTGGCAACTGTAACCTTTGTGTGGTTCCAGGAAGGAAGGGAGCTCAGTGAGTGATGCCCCATACAATGCATGGAGGAGATGTCCCTACCTGGCCTGTGAGCAGGTCCTGTCTCCAGTCCTCAGCTTGTACTGGGCTACACTCACAGGTGGCGGCACAATTTGCTGCACGGAAAGTCCCCAATTGTCCGAATTAGGGGAATTCCAAGAACGTCAGGCAATCAGAGAGCTGATTGGTGGCCTGAAGAGTGTCCCACCTCCAGATCAGATTTTATCCAATCACCTGGCAAAAACACAGCCTGCGCTTTGATTGTGCAAGTTCAGCTGAGTTAGAACATAAAGTGCTTATGAAAGGTCACATGTAGCATGCAGTCAGTGTTTAAATACTGAGAGTTACTTTGTTACCATTTATACAGATTGGTAAAGATAAACAGAGAGAAAATAATCATTGTGTAGTGACCATACTGCTTATTAAAGCTGGACAGCCTGCAAGGGGTGCAATATGCCCTGCCATTACCAATATTATCATTATACAACCATATATAGAGACAGTATTTACCCCAGTGAGTTACAATTATATGTAGGAATGTTTGGGGGGAAAATGGAAGTCTTACTATCCGATATATAAATGGTTAGACACAAGATGAGGGTTTTAGAAATATTTATCATTTATAATGTATGGGCATTCACATTACTGCGCCCTGGAGGATGCGTTCACATGCATCTATAAGGACCAGCATAGCCACCTTATTTATGTAATGACATCAATAAAATATGGGGGTGTTACAGCAGAAATCTTTCATGTGAGATTTTGCACAATCCATAATTAACCAAAAGTTATCTATGGGTTTTTAAAACCAACATTATTTAATTTCATACTGCCAGAATACCGTGCAGATTAATTTAACCCTCACAGGGCTGTGCACTTGTGACATCACTAGGGAAGGAATGCCCGATCGTGCACGAGTGTGCCAGGATCATGACATCACCCTGACTGCACACGTCTCACCCCAGTCAACACTTTAGTCGGGTTTAGTGGGGTGAGGAAATGAGGAGACAGTTCTACTTTAATATGTTAGGCAGTGGATAAACCCTATGAAGAAACACTACAGCATTAGTAATACAAACCTGTAATACTAAAGCACTCTTGTCTGACCCTGCTGTTTGCACTAAAAAAAATATATTAAAAAAAAAAAGAAGAACCAACAACAATTTTATTCACCTTTTGCCAGTGCTGAGACTCCCTTGGCACTGCCAACGTCTCCACCTCCCGTTATGTCATCAAGGAGGCGCCATTTCCTCGTAGCTGGTCCGACGCAATAGAGGAGAGTTGGGGGCCCTGATACGCATGCACATTCAAATACTTTGTATAGGAAAGAATTGAATCTAATTCTTTCCTATGAGCTGTAACGTCACATGACCCAGTGTTACTTGGCAAATTGCAGTGAAAACGCCTCTATTGGCTGTCAGTATAGGATATCCATTAAAGTGGAAAATGTATTGATACTTACCGTAATTTTCTTTTCCTGGCTATTATTCATGGCAGCATATACAGATGGGTTAGCTCTCCCCCTTACAGCCGATAGGACAGGAAAAACACCAAAGGCTTTAAAAGGAGGCTCCATTCCTAAGGTCCTCAGTCAGTAACAAGCTCTACAGTAGATAAAGAGAGACATTGATGGGTGGGTATTATATTCTACCGTGAATAATAGCCAGGTAAAGAAAGTTATGGTAAGTATGAATAAATATTCCACTTTCCTGGCTAATCATGGCAGCATATACAAATAGGAATACCCAAGCTTCAAAGGGAGGGACAGAAACGTAAATAACTGCCAATCAAATAATCAGAATAATTCAACATAAATTAGAAGATTGAACTGAATTAACGATTGAATGGCTATGCTCAGAAATGCTTCAGACTTGAGAAAGGGAGGTTCTCCCGAAATCTTGTCATTAAAAAATCTGTTAGTTCAATAAAAAAGGTATTACAAGATAATAATTTTATCTGTTTTTTTACATCTACATTACTGGACTAATACGGCTACTATCTCTACTTGCACACTATGGAAGATATATATATATATATATATATATATATATATATATATATATATATATATATATATATATATCTCCTTCCATGTCTCAGTGCATGTCTCCTAATAGAGCAGATAACCGAATTCTCCAGCTGTCAGATGCAGAAGGGGTGGGCTGAGTGAAAATCGTTTAAAATACCATGAGACATAGGCATCCATAGACTACACTACAGTGGTTATAGTGCATAGATTATCCAAACCATTAGGTGTATGCTTGTTTAGAACAGGGTGGAATATTAGATCATATATATTTATCATATTATCTATTGTTTTGTATTTGTAACATGCACACTGACTTATTCATTGCCATTGTCTGTCCATACTCTGGCCAGATCCTCATTTCAAGGTCTGATACCAACGTTTGCATGTTTAAGTGGGTGGAAACCAGTTAACTCGCAGGTTTGTACTTGTCCTGGTTGCAAAGGAAAGAGACTTGGGAGGTAATGGAAGCTTTAGGCTGTTGAGAAAAGCTCACAATATCAAAGGTGGATGTATCAAAACGTTGGTTTAGATATGACACCTAGTGGTTATTAAAAGGAAGAGTTTTTGGCTTAAAGTTCAATATTGGATAAAGGAAATGTCATAGAATGGTTTATATATGATATACCAGTTAATTCAATGTGCAGATCATGGTTTAGAATCCGGTACTGCATGTATACTGATATAATCTGGGTACTAATTCCCATAATGAATTCGTAATAACAGAAGGTTCACCACCATGTACTATGAGCCATTCATGTAGGGAAGACCCAGGACATACATGACAGCAGTGCATTATACATGTGTGATGACCGTGCTATTTAATAAAATGAGAATTCAAAGTGAATTTCAAATTTAAGATGAAAACAGACGAACTTGAAATATTCTCCAACTGTTATGCTTCCATTATTAATTTGGCCTTTAATTTGAAATTCACACCTTTGTAAATAACCCTGAGCCAGTACTATACAGAGACAAAATAAACAGGCTATAAATAGAAATGGTGGACGAAGTTAGAAGCCACAAACTTGCTCTACTCGTTAGCATCTGGAACAGATTCAGTTCATCATTGCAGAGCTCCACATGGACCATCATTTTAAAGGACCACTCTAGGCACCCAGACCACTTCAGCTTAATGAAGTGGTCTGGGTGCATGGTCCAGCTAGGGTTAACCCATTTTTTTTATAAACATAGCAGTTTCAGAGAAACTGCTATGTTTATAAATGGGTTAATCCAGCCTCTAAAGCCTCTAGTGGCTGTCTCATTGACAGCCGCTAGAGGCGTTTGCGTGCTTCTCACTGTGAAAATCACAGTGAGAAGACGCAAGCGTCCATATGAGACTGGCTGAATGCTTTCCTATGAGACTGGCTGAATGCGTGCGCAGCTCCTGCCGCGCATGCGCATTTAGCCGAAGAGGAGGAGAAGAGGCGGAGAGGAGAGCTCCCCGCCCAGCACTGAAGAAAGGTGAGTGTTTAACACCTTCCTGTCCTCAAAGCCCGGCGGGAGGGGGTCCCTGAGGGTGGGGGCACTCTCAGGCAGGGCCGCCATCAGGGGGTGACAACCATGACTGTTGTCACGGGCCCGGCGGCCCTGGGGGGCCCGGACTGCTCTGGCAGTCCTGGGCCCCACTTTCCCTTTCTGCACACATAGATAGCTAATATCGCTATCTATGTGTGCAGCCGCGGGCCCCCTGCTCCCTGTTACCGCAGAGGGGGCCCAGCCAGGCAGCACACAGCTTCTCCTCCTGTCTTCTCTCTTCTCATAACTCTCGCGAGACCCGCGGAGCGTTGCCATGGTAACCGGGTCTCGCGAGCGTTATGAGAAGAGAGGAGAAGCTGTGTGCTGCCTGGGCCCCCTCTGCGGTAACAGGGAGCCGGGGGGCATACACTAACACACACAGCATACACTAACGCAACACACACTGCATCCGCTACACTAACACACACTCTCTGCATTCACTACACATTAACACTGCATTCACTACACTAACACACACTCTGCATCCGCTACATACTAACACACTCTCTGCATTCACTACAAATTTACACACACTCTGCATTCACTGCACTAACACACACACTACATTCATTACACTGACGCACTCTGCATTCACTACACACTAACATACACTCTGCATTCATTACACACTAACACACACTCTGCATTCATTACACACTAACACACACTCTGCATTCACTAAACTATGCACACACTCTGGATTCACTATACTGACACACACTCTGCATTCACTACACTAACATACACTCTGCATTAACTGTACACACAGCATCCACTACACAAACATCCTGTATTCACAGTACACACACTACATCCACCACAAATTGAAACACTCTGCATTCACTATACACAGACACTGCGTCTGATACACACACTACAGACACTGCATCCACTAAACACATTTCATCTAGTACATACAAACACTACATCCACTACACAAACACACACTACATCACTGTACACACACTACATCCACTACTCAAAAACACTCTGCGTTCACTATACACACTGCATCCGCTACACAAACACACACTCTGCATTCATTGCACAAACAGTATCTAATACACACAAACACTACATCCATTACACACATTCTAATTCACTTCCACTATACACACACCACATTCAGTCCTGCATCATTGTGAGCGGACTAGGTAGGGCGTGGGCGGGCCCGCGAGGAGGGGGGGGGCCCAGACCTTGTGCTTTGTCATAGGCCCCAAATTTTCTGATGGCGGCCCTGCTCTCAGGGCACTATAGTGCCAGGAAAACGAGTGTTTTCCTGGCACTTTAGTGGTCCTTTAAGTAATCATTGGCAAAATAACTGACTGGATAAGCAACTTAGTGTTGAGGAGAGGCGTAGTAAGAGTCTGAATAGATCTACAGTATTTAACCCTGGCACTGAGCCAATCTCACTACATCATTCATGCCAACAACTGAGATCATCTTGTACAAGCTTACTAACATACTGTGCCCGCATTTGTAGATGGACATGGTATGTTAGCACTACATGAATTGGATAATACTAGCATTTACTCAACAGCTTTCTGGAAGCACTGTACAGGAAGAGATGGTTCCGATTGCACATAATGATAGCCGAGTTAAAGGGTTACTCCAAGCACCCTGACCACTTCAGAGATTTGCCTGGAGTATGTGCAGCGTTGTGCTGGGATATATTGCACATACAGAAATTAACCTCTCTGCTCCTGCTGGTGTAACTCCAATGCCGGCAGTGCCATTGGGGCGTCATTGCTGTTAGCAGTACACCTATTAATGTAGCCTTAGTAAGGTATATGATTTAAGGGAAAGGAGTTCAGGGTTTCCCTCAGTCTTCTTTTCTCTGGGGAATGAAGAAATTGGCATGTCTGTATACTGGTGTTAGTGTGAAGTCTATTGATATTATGGGGCATAATTATTAAGATATAGGCTACATTCAACAGATGGGACATCGAACAGGTATTATACAATGACAAGTGAATATGTTACAGTTCGTCATTACTGTATAGTTACACGAGTCATCTTATTAAGTTTGTATCTGTTTATCATAGCCTGTTGAAGCAATCAACATACATTAGTCGGAATTCTGCTATTCCCCGCTTTCTGCCGGGTTGTAAGTCTGTAGGACTTGCGAGAACAGAGAGATATGAGAAGTGAGAGTATAAGAAAGGAAAAAGAAAGAAGAATATGTGATCTCCTATACTGCTAATTCCAGGATGTAGCGATCCCATGCAGTGTGTTTCCTGAAGCCTTCATCCTGTACCTTAGCCTTGTCCAGAGACCCTTCTGGTAGTGGTGCCACTGCCACACATCTGGGTTTTGGTGTATCTATGTTAGTGAGAATGTATCCTGTCAGGATATTTATATCGGCAGATATTTTGTGCTAAAATAGAAATGAAAAGTGTATGTTGCCAGAGTCACTCAGAACAGAGCAGACTCCATTTTGCTATCTTCAGGATAACAAAGACACAATTTCCTTGCTTTCACTAACCACTGAGCCTGAGCTAAGGAATGCATTATATAAGCAAGCCAAGTGATAAGCAATGAAGCAGGGGGATAGAAGGCCCTGTCTAAACGTTAATAGAATAGAAATAATTTAAACACAGACACTAGTGACAGAGAAGACTAAGTAATTAATTTTACTTTCTAAATCTTACAAGGTCCCATTGTAGATAAGGGGTGAAATTGAGTTTAGAACGGTCAATTTTAGAAATTACGATCAAAGTAGTTGCCACAAAGACTGAGACAAACGCTTTGAACTGACAGCAAATTTAAGTTATGGTAGTCATTTTAGATAAGCCAAATGACGTCAAAATCGTCATCATGAAAAGTTAACTCTTTCCTGGATAGGAAGGTTTAGTAAGGCGAGACTGCCCTCTATGGATCAAATACCTAAATTGCAATCTGCAGGTTGAACCACACCTTCAGTTTCCTATTGGCCTTATCAACTAATGACATACAGAGAGTCTGGGACCTTTAAAAGTTAGGACAAAGGGAAGAGAGAAGTTAGTTGGTGAGGTTTTGGGCATTCATATTCGGACATGCAGAGAGATCCAGGACACTCTGGGACTAACATTCAACTCTCAAACTCTCTTGGACACAACTCAAGAAACACTCCTTGACAATTAGAATTTTACTGATACTTTCTAACCAACATCACTTTTCTCTATTACTCACGCACCTCTATACAACCAATCATATTCGCAAGTTACTGGGACTACCTACTCATCTGATGAGAATACCTACATAACTGATAATTATGCTGGTTTTATTTAATTAATCTAAATTAATTAAAAATGTACTAATAGCATGATATATGACTGGATAAATCATGGTCAGATTTCAATATTTAGAAATCTTAGTTAACTAAAGAATATATAGTTATAAACATTCCATTCTGCAGGTGGAATTAAGAATAATTATATATTAATGTGATAGTATCACGTGTTAGCATACCGTTGTTTATATCCAGGTGTATTGATTTGCTCTAAATAAGATAAGATATCTTTTTAAGCAAATTAAAACTCGGTTTATAGAATCTGGTAGATTATTCTTATTGGATGGTTCCAGGAAATGATTAATGAGCTGGTTTGAATGTTATTTTAATTGAAAATTACATGATAATATGATACCATATGCCTAGGAGGATCTAGCCAGCATTGAAAGGGTTACTCAGTTGATTTAACTGTTAGCCAAGGTTTTACGACTTTTCGCTGGGCTGTGTGAAATTTTGCTTTCTTTGTACTGAGACATTCCCATTAATCTTGTCTTGACAGTTGATGCTGTAGATTGTACTATGTTTAGCCATTGCATTGTATACCTGTGTAATACTAAATATTCACTGATTAATATCATGCATGCTGCCTAATATTATTGTTATTTAATTTGTCACAATAAATTATTTTTATAACAAATTGTGATTTTATTTGTACATTCCACAAGGTCGGGTCTGTGATTTGGGGAGTATTGTTGGTTGTGAAGTAATGTTTGAGTTTGTGGTCTAATGAGGAGGTGAATTCCTGGTCATAGAGAAGTGAGTTGAGCCTCCATGAACCTCTGCCTTTATAGGAGAAAGCATCAGTGAGTATCAGTGTCACTGGGGCATGGTCAGACCATGTTATATCACCATGTGTGCATTGGTGCGTTTGTGGTAGCCCTGTGCTGGTTGTGAAAAAGTAGTCTATCCTGGAATGGGTTTTGTGCACATGGGAATAGTAGGTATAATCTTTATCTCTAGGGTGCAATGTGCGCCACACATCATATAAGTTAAATTGGAATAGAAGATGTGAGAGATCTTGATCTAGGTTTTGCGGTATCTAATGTTGTGTCCATTTCGGGATATAGGATATGGTTCGGGTCTCCGCAGTATATTAATGTGCCTTGTTGTATATTGCTCACTTTAGTCAACAGGCTTTGTAGGAATTGTCTCTGGTTGTTGTTTGGTGCATAAATGTTGACTATGGTATATGTGACATTATTAAGATTGCATACTAATATGAGATACCGCCCATTACTGTCTGTGATTATTTTAATTGTTTCAAATGCTACTGATTTATGCAATATGCTGACTCCCCTAGATTTCTGACTATATGTGGAGTGGTATTGGTGTGGAAATTTAAGGCCTAGAGACAGCGTTTTCATTCATCGGAAGTGAGTCTCTTGGAGGCATATCACATCCGCATCATGTTTTTTCAGTACTGTTTAGCAGCAGTTGGCATTTTTGGGGGGAATTAATCCCCGGACATTATGTGAATATATTTTCATTAAGGGATTGGTCTGTTGTAGACATAGCGTTGGTCGTTGGGGGATATAGTCTAAGATCTGGCACAATTTGGCTGTGGTATGCCAGTATTAGTGCGTATTGGTTAACGTCTGGTGAGTAGTTCTTTTTACTTATGTGTATAGTTGTAGGCATAGGTGTGCTGTGGTTGTTCGTGTACCTTGCAACCTGGGTTGGGGGTGGGTAGGGTGTGAACATGAGTCTCAGCGAGAACTCAACTATATACAACATTGGCCAGATGTGGGGCTTGGTACTCCTTGTTAGTACCTGGGGTGTGGTGAGCATGCGTGTTGTGCTCACAAAGGAAGCTACCTGGGCTCCTTCATTGTTTGAACCAGTTTAGGGACCCCGAGGTGCATGCCGGGCTAGTTTCCCATGCTTGGTATTTGCATAGTGCGCCTTAGGCAGTGGTGGTGCTTCCTACTGTAGGTTTTTGTGGGCTAGAGTTATAGGTTCAGGGAATTGTTGATGGAACTGAAGTATGAGTGGGTGATAAGCATAACTTATATATCTGTACTTCTTCATGAAACATTTATTTACATCAACATAGTGTAATATGAATAGTTCCGGGTCCCCTGCTTAACATGTGTTATCTTGCCATAGCTGCGTCCAACCTGTGGGGGCACCGTCATTGTTGTGTGCCTGGAGATGTCACTGTTATTTGGGTTATATATATATATTTTTTTTTTTTGAAGTACTGTCATGTTGGTTGTCTCGACCTTTCAACCCAGTAGTGCTAATGGGTCAATTTATCCTTTTGTTTGTTGATTTTTGTCCCAGTGTCTAAATAATTTTCCCGCCCTGGCATGTTAGGGTTGGCTGCTTGGTCATAACCCTCATCTTCTGGATGTTGATTATCATAATTATTTCCCCAGATAAGAGGGGAGTGTGTCTATGCTAGTTGGAGTGTGAGCCTCGGCGTTCCGGGGTTTTGGTGTACATTGGCGTTCTATAGTTGTTATCTGTGAAACATTTTAATGGTTGTTTGGTAGATTATATTAAACCATATTAACTAAACAATGATGAACATAAAAGACAAATATTTTGCTATTTAAATACATTACCAGCCTTTACGTGCTATGGCATATTAGTTGTGCAGTGTGGCTGGTATAAGTCCATGGCTATTATGCCTTTTGCCACTCTTTTTGCAGAGTGGCTGCTTCTCTTGGCGGCTTGCTCGGCTGAGGGAGATTCCATTCTCGGAGAAGCTTCTCTCCATCTTCCGGTGAGTGTAACGCCTTTGTCATGCCGTTCTTAGAGATGAGAAGTTTAAGGGGGTATCCCCATCTGTAGGCTATTTGGTGTTGCCTGAGAATGATGGTAATGGGTTGAAAAGCCTTTCTCCTTCTCAACGTTGCTGATGACAGATCAGGGAATATTTCTATGTCGGCGAATTTGCTGGGGATGTTCTTATGGTTTGTGCTTTGCCGTCGTATAAGTTCCTTTATGTCATGGTAGTGGGCACATAGGATTATGTCCCTGGGTACAGAGTCCGAAAGGTGTCAGGTTTTAGGTATCCTGTGGGCCCTGTCCAAGAGCAGCATAACCGACGGTGTGTCAGGTGATGGAAGAAATCATGCAGGTAGGCCTGGAGATCCGCGGGAGCCACCGTCTCCGGTATTCCCCGCAGCCTTAAATTATTTCTCCTTGCTCTGTCCTCGATGTCCATGAGTTTGTTTTCCATTGTGATTATAGTTGATTGTAGTGTGCTTACTTGTCCTGCTAGCTGGTTGTGTGCACCTTGGGTCTCCTCCATTCTTTCCTCCACGCGGGAGGTTCTCGCACCCAGTTCTCCTATGTCTTTTTTTAGGCCTGACAGGCTTGCCGTCCAGCCAGCCATCATTTTGCTGGAGAATGCTTCTAATTGTTCCAAAAGGAACTGTTTAGTGACCGGTTCCTCCATTGTCAGATCTGCCGGTTCGGTGAAGGGGTTGCCGTCTTGTGATTCCTCCCCACCATCTTTTTGGTGCAGCTGGGTTGGTTGTTTGGTCAACGCCGCATTTTGGCCAAAGAAGTTATGTTTTTCGGCTTTGGTGGTTTGCCGTTTTTGTTTAGGTTGCGACATAATGGTTTTCTGTATGTCTGGGTCATCTGTGTTGGGGTTTATTCACCTTATTTCGGAGCCCATGTGGAGTTATACTTCCATCTTGCTCCGCTGGTAGCCACGCCCCTCGGATCCATTCAGTTTTAATCTATTTTGTTAAAATGTTGAATGCATCCGAATCAAACAAAATTCTGACAAAAATCTATTTGTTTCAAAAGTTATGGAATCAGGGCCTAAAACTTCCATTTGCCACTAGACATTGGCAAGTGAAATCTCAGCCTTGGTGAGTGTTTTAAAACCTGACTTACAGTAGGAGTTATTTCCTGTCCTAATGTGTTTTATACCCCACCTCCTATAGACTGCAAGCTCGTTTGAACAGGGTCCTCTTCAACCTATTGTTCCTGTAAGTTTTCTTGTAATTGTCCTATTTACAGTTAAACCCTCCCCCCCTCTAATAATATTGTAAAGTGCTATGGAATCTGTTGGCGCTATATAAATAGCAATAAGAAGAATAAGAAGAATAAAGGACTACTCCAAACAGGAAGCTTGTCGACATCAGTTATCTGTGCAGAGCAGGTACCCTTTTTTTTTTCCCATTTACAAAAAGGGTAATTTTCATTAAAAAAATGTTTTAATAATTAACCTTGCTACACCTCCCTGGCTGTCAGCCAACAGGTCCTGTTACTTCCTGGTTTGTTTAGATCAGTGGCGCTAAACGCAAGAGGCAGCAATTGCCCAGAGCAGCTGCCTTGCAAAGACTTCTCATTGAGCTGCTTTGGGAAGTCTGATGAAGCAGAGGGCTAGTTAAGTGCGGGGTACCCCTTAAAGGCATCGGCTGAGCGAGTTACCTGAGCCTGAGCGCACACTCCTGTCATGGACGTTTTGCAGAGACTCACACACAGCATAGAGTGCAGACACCGGGTAGAGGTTTCATCACACATACCACAGAACCGTATTAAGTTTATGATTTCTCATTCTCTGGTATAACGTACCTATGTGCATTTTAGCCTCCTACTCTCCAGTTTGGAATTGCATGTAACTACTCCTGGGCATAATGCCCTCATTTTAAGTCTATATAACCAGTGCCTCTCTCTAATGGTATGGCTGATCTTAAGTTCTAGCTTAACTTACACCACGACAGCAATTACAAGCTTGCTATAGTTCATGTACAATTGCTGGCTATTATCAGAATTTTTCTACTCCTGAATAACAAAAAAAAAAAAGTGCAAGTCTATTACCATGACTTATGATGTAACTTCAATGTATCTTATCGCAATAACTATTAATGCCATGTCTTTATCTACTTGTTTATCTTTCTCTGCAGTACAAAAATAAAGAATTTAAAAAAAAAATACATATCCCTTTTGTCACCCACCAATGCCCCTTGCGTTCTTAGGGCTTCTTTGGAGAATTGCAATCTGGATGATATTTAAAATGGAACATCAAACTTTGGTCTATTATCAGAATTTGACCAGCAGGTGGCAGTCTCAACTTGTTTGACACGGTGACTTGCAGTCTGCGAATCTCAACTACAAAATGTTATAACAGCTTGGAAACACTGGAAGTTTTCTAAAGTGATTTTGATTTGTAATCTTTTGATTACCTTGTTTTGGTTTGTAGCACACAATTTGTGTAAACCTTTAACCTGCAATATATCTAATTTTATAGTATGATTCTTTATAGTGTCAGGAATACAAGACACCATAGCCATAGCCGTAAAAACAGTTTAGGTCCACAGCCCCCCATTAGAAAAGTAAAAGGTGATTTCATTCATCTTCATTCCAGCGCCGTGAGGCTACATTAAGCTTTAGTTGTTCGGGTGACTTAGGACTGGTCCAAAAATCATAGAAAAAGTAGTACCTGAGAAATTGGAAACTGCTGCTATACTGAATCCTAGTCTACAGCCCTTTCCTAGCCAGCTGCTTCTCTACTATATTTTTAATATTAAGCAGACATGGCTGAGCCAATAGTTCCAATCTACAGGCTTGTGTTACTTTCATGCTCTTCTATTCAAGTAGAATTGTGATATCTGTATCCTTCACTTGCTGGGCACACAAGTAAATTCATAACCTTTACTGTATACTATGGGGTCCAGTGATTTTTAGAATTTGCTTTCATATGCTTCAGTTAATATGTAATTTGTGTCGTTTGCAGAGATTGTACTGTAGCCTCACTAGGTTTAATAGGTGCTTAATGGGGAATTGAGAATTTTATGGGTATAATTATGTTTCCTTAACCCCTGCATCTGGAAAAAAATAAATAATGCTACAAAATTCAGTGCATGTAGCTGTATCCCAAAACAGTGTTCCATCTTAGCTCCCTGACAATGTTACAAAGCGTCATAATCTGAAACGTGGTACAAAATTCTAAAAAACAGGGCAAACACCATGGAAACAGCAGGCGTATTACGTGGTGACTGCTCCACTTTTAGAACTTCACATCAAGAGACTTTGACTAGACTACTGCATTGATTATCTACTCCAAAGCATGATGTGCCCTGCTGGGCCAGGACTGAACTGGATTGTAATATCAGTTGCTAACAGGATTATTAAAGTGAGAATTGTGGGGAATTCAAAGTGAATTTCAAATTTAAGGGCAAAATTGCTTTAGTGGAAAAATTCTCAAAGTCAGACATGCTTCAATTTAGGTTATTTTGGTTGAAACATTAAAATTCACTCTGAATTTCTGACAATACTCACTTTAGTGAATATGTGAGACTCTCATATATATTTCAATGCAAACAAAGCATCACATAAAAACTAAGCACTGCATGAAATTATTTCTTTTCAAGGTTTCATACGGCTACATACTTTCTAAAGAAGTGATTGTTCCATTTTATTGCATACAGCCTTTAGTCTATGTGAGAAGAGCGGTGCAGGGGAGATAATAAGATATCAGTATTAAGCAGATCATCAAAATGGCAAATTAATTTTACAAAAATATATATTTGTGTCAACAAAGGACGTACTTAGCAATTGACAAATGTACAAATTTTGGAAAAAACTAAACCAAATTCATATACATATATTTATTTACACCAGAAAAGGTAAAATAAATAAAATGTAGTATGTGTCATGTTTTATAAGGTGATGGTATGGGACACATTTCCAATTATCACTTTAAACCAAAGCACTGCTCGGTGAGACTCCAAGATGACATCCATCAAGATCTGATTCTTTTACAGCTGTGATTGTACTAGAACGTAGAAATGCAAGGTAATATGATCGAACAGAAAGCTCATGCTGATTGTAAGGGTCGCAGCTACCGTATCTTTGTAAATAGCAACCCATTTGATGATAGCATATGAGAACATTGCTCTTCAACTTAAAAGAAAGTCATTCTTCCATAGGGTATAGATGTACAACCAAACCCCCTGCGATGAAACAATGACAACATTGTTAGCTACATAGTCTGAAATATCATTCAGAAGTTCAAACATTGTGCTCCGAAGAGAAATAATCAGGTCCTACTGCTCTGAATCCGCCTGAAAAGGTTTCTATCCACAATATAACAAATAACACCATGTTTCCTATATAATTTCACTGTTTACAATACATTTGCTTAAATCAAATTCTTTACAATGGGGTATTAATTGCAAGCCTCATTAATGTGTCATCCCACCAGCATATTCTGTATAAAATGGCATTGTTTGAAGGATAATAAGCTAATTTAATGGTACTTTATGTAAGGTAATATGTAATATAACAAAAAGTTAAGTCTCCGATATGGGCTTAAAAACCAAAGCATTTCATGTTTGAAACTAGCATGTCCCTCTCCACTTAAGAGCACTCTTCTCAGAATCTGAAATAAAGGTTAGGATATTCAAGCAAACAAATTTGAGGGGCAATTTTTTTTTTCTCTCCCAAACGCTTCTTTTGACTGGGTTCAACCAGATGAAGGGTGTAAACTCAATGAGATTATACGCACTATATCCACCAAACATCTGTATTTAGCGATTATCCAAATATGTGTTCTCCACAAAGTTTAGGAGACCCTTGGTAGTTTGGGGTACGATAGACGTAAACCTAAAAAACTCATAAGATGTTTCAAGCATTGTTGGAATTCTCTTTTTTAGTGTACGTTACCCTTAATCATCCTGAATCAAAAAGAACATTTGGTCGTTCAAGGTAAAGGGAACGTTTTTCCATCCAATCTTCTAGGAGCACTAGAGGTCTCCATCTGAAAATATCTTGATAATCCCTACCTCCTGAGCTGCTGGTGGTCCTTGATTGGATGGCTTGAGAAAGTACACTGACTGCTAATAATTCCTGTTGTACAGTACATCTGAAACAGGTGACATAGTTAAATTCCAAAGAAACTCTTTGTGGGTTAATCAAAATCATATGCACATGATATCTTCCTGTGTAGCAAAGAGCAGAAATTTGGGGACTTAATTTAAATTGGGAGGACTAGAGTGGATTATGTGCTGATTGGAATTTTAGTATGGTAATCTGGTCGCTATAATAGGTTTAAACGTTTTAGTGCCATGGTAACTATTCTAAGCAACGCAAATACACGCCAGTGAACCCGAAAACTATTTTTGAGCTCCATGCCTTTGAAAGAATAAAAACAAGTTTGTACAAAGTGTCTTAACATTCCTAGTATGAGACTATTCATATTAATGTGCAATGCAAAACCAATGCAAAGAACCTGCGCTGTCAAATTTAATATACAGCAAACGGGCCATAGCCTTGTTCAAGCTACACACTGTATAGTCATTTGAAACACACATGGAGTTAAAAGCACTATGTCAGATGTAAACATGTCAGAAGGGGATTAGACGCCATAAATAATGTGTTTTCAACATTAAAACAGTCCGAGTAACATTTAAAAGGCATTTAAGAGTCATAGTTTCTACTACAATCTCATTGTCAAGTGAATTTATAGAGTAGGGTATACATGTTTAACACAGCGGCTAGGTATGTGCAAGGTTGTTTTTAGAAGTCTTTCAGTTTTTTCACCAAAGCAGGGGTAGGCAACCTTTGGCACTCCAGTGGATAACATCTCACCTGATTCTTGGC